CATCTCAATCTCATGTAGATTTTGTAATCATATTCCGGTCAACCCATTTAAATGTGACCAATGTAAAGAGTTCTACTGTAACTATTGCACCAAACTCTTGTATTACATTCACAACCTGAGAAATGGACATGAACACCCTGATTTCGAGAATATTGAGAACAAGAAATTCGCCTGCATTTCCTGCTTGGGAAATGATCTTTCAAGAATACAGATTATCAATAGTGATGAAAGAAAAGTTTTCAGTGAATTTAAAGTTAACTGCCGCAATTACTTCTGCCAAGAGAAAGGTTCCTATTTCGATATAATCAAACATCTACAAGAATGCAAAAGTGAAGAGTTCAAAGTGAATTCTATTCTTGCTTTCATTAAGTCGAATAAGGAAATTATTGAACTGAATGATAGAGTGGCCGTAATTCCTCCGTTGGAAGGACCTGAAAACCCGTTAACAACAGTACCAGACTATGCTAAAGCCTTTGACGCTAGACTAATGGTACAATATCCCGATTTGGTAACATTATCAGCCAAAAGAAAACGAAATGAAGATGACATCAGCCAAAAGCGAATGAGACTTGAAGAAGCACAAGGACCTCGTGCCTCTACAAGCTCAAGTGCAATTGATCCGTTTTGGTCTAATGAAGAATTAGATTATACAAGTCATGATGTTACATCAAGTCAATCAACTTCGTCTCAAAAGAGTAATAAAGATGATCCCGTTAAAACATCAAGTCCAATGGAAGTGGAAAAACAACCAGAGTGGGGATCATGGGACGAATACGCTGTCGCAGCTAAAGTTGGAACACCAACAGTTGATTGGGACTCAGTTTTGAACGCCGAAGGAGGACCTTCTTCAGCTTCAAAACCAATCTCATTCGAGATAAATGAAGAAACAATCGCTGGAGATACTGTCATCAAAGGAAGACCAAAAATAGTTAGAACCATCGACGATATTAGAAAAGATAAGAGTTTAACATCTAAACAAAAGAAAGCAATGATTAAAAGAAGAAAGCAATGGGAAAAAGAGAAAGAAGCGAACATCGAAAGAAAACAAGATAAGAAGAGAAGGCAAAAGCGTCTTGACTGGTTAGCTTCCAAAAGCAATCCAAATGAAATTTTCAAACTTGAAACATGTATCCATCAAAATAGAATTGTTGAAACAATTAAGGTTTTAAACAATGAGAAATTGAAAGTGTGCGGTTTAGACATTGAGAAATCCGATGTCATGACTATTGTTGGAAAAAGAAGTTTACCGATTTGGATTGGTATTGTGGATCATAATGGCAATCAACTATTTAATGACATCGTTCGCTACCCAAAAGATTCAATTAAACCTGGTTCAATTTTCCATGGAGTCACATTCGAACTGACTCGAGGTGCTGATATTTGGGCAAATGTTAAACGAAAAGTTATCGCTATCCTGAAAGAGCAGGACATCATTTGTGTCGCTGGTGGTGCAAATGACTTTGTTTCAATGGGATTCAGTGATAATGATTGGGAATTAATCAGACACAAAATCAGAGATGTCAATATCTATTACCGTTGTGTTATAAACGCACCAATGATTGCTCTCAAATACATTATCTTCTGTTTGTTTGGAAAAGTTATTCAAGACGCCGAACATTCCCCTATTGTCGATGCTGGTTATACGATGTGGTCTTATCTAATTGATCGTGAAGAGTTCGAACGAGCTCATCAAGAATCTATTCATTGTATCACCCCAATGTATGACGGATCTTACCATCAAGTAGACTATGGCTACAACCGTCAAATGTCTGAATGGATAAGACGAATAATGGATCGAATTGATGATTGGCCGTTTAATATTCGAAAGAAACCGATTGGAAAACCCGCTCCGTCTTTCGATGAGGATAGATTTTGCGATGGAACTGAAAATTTACGCGCTCCATTTACCGAAATAGATCCAAGGATATTCGACAAATTTAAGGTTAAAAGAGTCCAATTGAAACGTTGATTTCGCGGCATTTGGAACCAGCCAATTCCGACACCCAAGATGTCAAAATTTTCTGGTTCGCTCGATTTGACACCCGAAAGCAACGTCGAGTAGGGGGCTCTGTAAGGGGATTACATATAAATGACGCAACCTTAATTACTCTCCCCCTTTATCTAATCTACATCACGTGATACATTAACCATTTACCAATACCCTAGAGATTAAATGTTGTATATAAAAGCCCAATTCAAATCTAAGAAGAACACATAGAGTTAAGAAGTCAATGTTAAATCAGTTTAATTGTTAATCTCTCCTTACCCTTCCTTTACCCTTACCCTCAGTTCTGTTTAAATCTCACAAAGTTCCAAGTCTAAATATTCAAAAGTGCTATCAAAAATAAAAAGAGTTTCATTCAAATCAAATCAGTCTTTCTCGGAGATCCCTTGGTAAGGTTTGTCTACGACAAAAATACTCACAATCATGATCATCATCAATTTCTCTCTTTCATTGAATTGATCAAAAATAGCTCGAAATCAGAAAGTTACCCTTCTTCTCATCATTCAACTCCCACTTCCTATTTCATCATCATTATCGTATCTCATCCTCTTCTTATCGTAATTTAATTATTTAACTATCATTTTCATTCTGCTGATGATACAATTAACGTAAAGGTTTATATTTAGTTTGATTAACTTTCTAATTGGAACAAAGTTGTTTCTGTGTTTTCAACTAATCGATTATCATTATTTTCAATTGAATTTTAATTTGATTATCCAATTAAATTAAGATTCATACCAGTCAATTGATTAATGGTTTTCCGTGGTTGATCATTCAAATTGATTGTCAATTATTCATAATCAACAGTTAAAATACAATCAAAATTGAAACATAATCAATGTTAATTGTAAATTGTTATACGATTTAAGTGATCATTATTTCAACTGTCAAGATAATCATCAAATTGATTAGCGATTCATTCACTGTTTCGTTAATCATTTAAAGGTCAAATTGATAATCAACAAATGGTAATGATCATGATCATCACAATTTAACATCATAAATAAATGTAGTCATTAAAATGGATTAACGGATTATCTTAATACACATGAGAAAATAAACTCTTTTTTTTTCTTTATCAAATTAAACTAAATTGTTACTAATTGTTAATATCAACTTGGGGCACATAAGATTAATATTAACCTTTAATCCACTATTTGATTAGGATGAATAATTTAAGATTGATTTCTTCCTAATCATGACAATTAAAACGCGATCAAATGATTATTTAATTGTGGTCTTCTTAATAAGGAAATGATAATATCAATACAATAATTAAAAATTGGCTCAAAATTATGATAATTGTTGATTATTTGTCTTGATTTGATTTACTATTAAAACCACACCTTTTTGATTAGTAAAAATGAAATTGATTCATTTAAACTAATCATCAAGTTGGTTAACCATTTAATCCGGAAGCTGATTAACATTTGATTTAATTTAATTTACTTTTCCTTTCGTATTACCCAATTAACTTAACCTCAGGTAAATCATCATAGTTAATACAGAAATGAGATGAAATCATAATTAGACAGATAATCATACAAATCATTCAGCAGCAATTAGTAAATTGTTTGATTGCTAATTGTTCCCGGAACATTGATTTAAATGCAAAAATCAATAACAACATCAATTAATAAAATGAAAAGAAAAACTAATTGAAATAATTTAATTTTGATTGATTGATTTTTTTTTCTGTGTACTAATTAACGGTAATTTTGAGAGTTTGATTGTGAACAATCAAAATTAATCATTACAAATTTGAGTAAATTTAACTATCGATCACAAATTTATTTATGTTGGCACAATTTAATTCCTAAATTGTGATAATAATAACTGGAAATTTAATTCGTGAGATCCAATTGATTGTTGTTTAGAACCTTAATCATAATATTAAATTAATACTCTCAATTTTGTTTTTACGATCTCATAACAATCAACAAACAATTTAATAATAACACAGGATTAAAGGTCAATAATAATAATGATCAAGTTGATTGTTATGGATTAAATTGATAAGGTGAATGATTAATAAGATGATTAAAATTGTTGATAATAATAAAGGTTGAATTTCAATCAAATGAAAATTTTATCATGAGAAATTCAATTAAACCGTAGATATTGATTGTTAATCACAATTTAAACCGGATTTAAATTTCAGCTTTCTCTTGGTATTCACTAATTATGATGTTTTAATTTCCGATCGTTAATCATTTCCATCATCATCATTATCTAAATGGTAACAATTTAAATTACGGATTCAATGTTTACTTTTTCATTTTGATCTCAATTAAATCACTTTTATTTAATTTAATTACAGTTAATGGTTATTGGTTAATTATTATATAACTCATTTGTTTCTATTACAATTAAATCAATTAATCTATTTTTGATCATCATTTACTTTACCCAATTAACTAATGGGATTGATTAAATTAAACCATTAATTGTGATTCCTGTTACCAATCAACTAATCACAACAACAAGAAAAAACTTTTTTTCACAATTTACTTCATAATTGATAATTAACCAATCACAATTAACAAATTTAAATTTGATTGATAGACATCGTTAATTGTACTGATCAATTATTGAGATCATTTCAATTGTTGATCAAATTAAAGTGAAATTTAATCAAATTAGATTAAAATTTTTCTCTCTATTAATTTTTCCATACCCAGTGTGACAATCGACCAGTTGATTAACTGATTGTTGATGATGTAAATATATAATTAAATTAAATTCTCACCAATTTAGCAATACTGACAATTAACACTATTTTTTTCTCTATTCATAAAGTACAATTTAATTAGATTAATTTGATTGTCGTAAAAAAGGAAAAGTTTTACTTCATTTCTTTCTCATTGTCATTGTATTACTTTCATTTTCCCATCATTAATCAATAAGAAAACCTGATTGTTTCCAACGAACCTTTTTAATTAACAATTTAGCTATGATTAACTAATTTTGATTTGATTTTTTCATCTCTCATTAGACTGTGGTATCAATCAATTCAAATGTAAATCGGGACAATGTATAGCCATTGATAGAGCTCATAATGGATTCAAGGATTGTTCTGATGGTTCAGATGAAGATTGTCCTGAAAATCAGCATAAGTGTTTATGTGGTTTACCTGTTTGTCTTGATAAATCACGAGTCAATGACGGTAAGAAGGACTGTATTGATGGGTCAGATGAGGGTCATGCTGACACAAATTTATGTCGATATGATACTTCAGGTAAGTCCAATTGAATGACCTTTTGTAATGGTCAATAGTTTTAATTTGTTTTCCTTTTTCCTCTTCTTTTCATTTCCTATCTATTTTGCTGTTGTACCACCAATAGAATTGACAATTGATGAAGTGGCCAAAAATGGTGATAAACTTAAAGCACCAAAACTAGTCTCAAGCGTATTACCTGATTATCATGAGGGTAGTTCATCAATTAACCCTGAGAATCAGTTAATTAACGTATCAACAACAACAACAACATCAATTCCATTGGTAACTCCCTCATTCTCATCAATTTTATCTTCACCTGCAATCGTCTCACCAACCGCTACAACTGAAGATATTTTCGTCGAGGTGACCGGTACTTTTGTCCCTTACGAGCAACTTCGACCTTTTCGACCTGCTGTAGCTTCTTCCGTTATTGCCTTACCTCAATATTCATCCATAGTGCCAACTGGAAGTAGATCAGTTATCGAGATAACGGGAACTTTTCTATCTGGTTCACCTGAAAAAGGTCAACAAGAACCACCATCATCATCAATGATATCAGCGACTTCAGTTAAACCTCTAGCACGGACTTCAATAGTATCGGCGTCAACTGAAGTACCCTCAGTGGACACCACCAAGAGTGAAACAACAACAAATTTACCCACGACCCTGAATCCATTTAATAGCAATTCGAAACGTTTCTTGGTAACTGTAAGTCGAGCTCCGGTCTCCAAGAGTAACAATAAGGTTAAATTGTTTACCGGTTTCATCTCAATCAATGGAACCAAATACAATCTTCTTACGGTCAACAATGGAACTGATAATGATGAGGTGACCATCACAATCAACGATTTTCACACGATCAACGGTAAATCGTTGCTCACTGGTGATCGTCGGGTTAAGACGGGCGAGGTTGCTGTTAATCTTAATCATATTGGATTATCACTGAATTTACCTGTTTCTTTCAATGAAATGACTTCATCGCATGATTTATTATTTGGAAACGCTGTTACCAGTAATCAAGTTAATTACAGAATAATTTTGATTAGTGATGCTAATAAAGTTAAATTTGAAAATACACCAGGATCAACTGGACTTGAATTGAATCATGATAAACTACGTCCATCAGATTTAATTGTTGATGGATCAGATACCGTTAAAGATGAATTAGTTGATCTAATTAAATTGTCTGTTAATGTCCACTCTTCCCATGAATCATTGCCCAAAAATGTAATGGTCAAGAGTACTTTGATTGAAGATAATGACGAAATGGAAACTGGTAAATTATTATCAAATAAGATTAAACCTTTATCTGGTCAATCTGGATTAGGATTTAATAGGAAATTAGTTGAGCCAAAGGAACAATTTGTCGCTTATGGATTAGAAAATATTGATTCACGATCAACCGGAAGATTTTTAGATAATGGTGCCAATAAACTGGGTTCTGGTTCACCGATTTCATCGGTTACCCCAAGTTACATCAATACACCAACACGAAGAGTAACCGATAATTTCAATGAACTTTCAGCTGATTCCGAGATAGCTGATACAATTAAATATCAGTCAACACCTTCACTTGACAGTATTGGGCTGATTAGTAAATCAGTTCCAGTTTATGAAAGACCATCGTCACGAGTAAAAGTTAACAATCAAGAACAGGCCATCAAATCAACATCACCCAGTATCATGGGTACTACAACAATCTTTGGATTCATTGATTTTACCACCACAATCAATGGTTCCTTGGTGGTTTTCACACCCAATACAAAATCACCAATTTCACCTAAAAATGATAAAAGGAAATGGAAATCAACTTCTACTTCTGGATTACAAATTCAACCTACTCCATCCTCAGGTTCAGCCTCAGGTTTCCCGTCAATGATAACGACATCAGCACCTTATTCAAGTGTAGTATTACCTGTTGCCAGTTCAATCAATATTCGAGATAATTTGAAACTTCGATCACGATCCAAATTACGACCTAAAATTGAACCAACCTCAAGTCAACCTTTATCGGCCTTCACTGAACCACCAAGTGACCAATTGACCAATAAATTTAATAAATTTGGTAAACATGAATCAATCAATTTTAATCCGATTGTTTCATCCAAAGAGGTTAAATTGAGCTCTTCATACTCTGAGTTTGGTTTACCCAGTTTAACTTATCAATTGGCTAATCGTCAATCATCAACAACAATTAACTCACAAATTAAACCAACAAGTACACTACCAACTGGTTTACTATCTTCATTCACAGGTACAATCTCAGGTAATCAAAGTTTGACCGAATGGACAACCCTGGTAATCGGGACATTTATCAAAGGCACTTATGCTCACATTCTGGAAAGTAAATCACGAATTTATCCCAAACAAGAATCAACCCAAGATCAAATTCAATCAAGTAAACCTTTGATTCTATTCCCATCATCTTCATCTTCCAACCAAATGTCATCAATTCAACCACCAGCTCGATTATCACCTAAACAAGATTTAATTAAACCTTCACATCAAATTACAATCACGAGTGGATTCATTTTACCAACAGCAGCGAGTGCATTGGATTCAAGTTCATCAACGGTAACTTCCAGTAAAGATCAATCGTCAAGCTCAATTAAATCATCACCTTTACCCTCGTCATCATTACCAATTGAACTTTCATCTTCAATAATTGAACCTGAAACCATTTCAACCTCATCACAATCTTCAATTGAACCAACCAAGAGCCTTGAAGAAACACTGAAACCTTCATCGTCAGAATACTCGTCACCATCGTCTACAACAGTACTAACCTTTACACCAATTCGAGCCCATGTAACAACTTACACATATTATACAACTTATTTCAAGGATGGATCAATGCTGGTCTCATCTCACAAAGAAGTTGTAACAAATACTCAATCAGCAGTCCAATCAACACCTTCATTATCATCTTCGTCGTCCACTTTAGCACAACCATTATCATCATCATCACCATCATCATCAGCTTCAACTTCTTCTGCCATGGTAACACCAAGTTCAAAGGTTATCCTACCAGTAACCTTTTACACGACATACACTTATTACACAACCCACTTTAATGGAGGTTCACCAACAATCAAAAGTCGCGAAGAGACAATTACCCGAGTATCAACACCAGGAGAAAATGAATCAACCCAATTGATAAATCCAACATCTTCACCTGTAGATTCAATTATTCAATCGACACCATCAAATCAAATTAAACCAACTGAATCTCTATCAATTGTATCTCCTTCATTTTCCTCAATTGAACCTTCAATCAACTTAATTTCTCGTAAACCAACGGCTCCTGTTCGTACTTATTACACAACGTACACTTATTTTACCACTTACCTTCGAGGTGGATCCAAATCAATTGCCTCACGGTTCGAGACGATCACGAATGTAGCTTCAGGTGAAAACGAAATTGACAAAACCTCATCACCAGGTAATCAAATATCACCAACAGCAATTGTAAAACCCGCAATTGGATTAACACGATTCACAACTTACACTTTTTATACAACTTACGTTAAATCGGGTTCGACTGTTGTCTCTACGAGTAAAAAGACAATAACCAATGTGGCCACAGTACCTAAAGAGACCACACGACCAACAGGAGCTATAAGACAGTCCATTAAACCAAGTAAATCAGCTCGAACTGAACTGATCACCTTTACCTATTTTACCACAAAATATAATCAAGGTAAACCTACAGTGTCAAGTCGCTTTGAAACCATTTCAAGTGTAATCAACGAACCGGCATTTGGTCAAAGATCATCTATTAAGCCCTCATTGACCTTATCCTCGGTGGTACCGTTATCAACATCATCTTATGATAGTAATAATTTACTTTCACCTTCAGTTACATTTGATCAACCCTTTGCTACAGAAACACCTCCTCTCATTGATTCATCTTTCAACTTTAACGGTAAATCGTCATCATCATTGATTCAGAATGATGCCAATTTGTTATCATCTTCAAAAACACCAGAACTTCCCATGGTACCCGAAATTAAAGATATGACCTCACTTGACCTTAATAGCCTTTTAGCTGGACTAAAGGTTCCGATAACTCGATATACGACTTATACATATTTCACCACATTAGGCCAAGGTGTTTCTCGATCAACGGTAACTCGAACTCAAGTTGTCTCAAATGTAGTAACCGATACAATTAAATTGAGTCTACCTTCATCATCGTCATCATCTGTACTTTCATCATCATTGTCATCAGTTTCCTCTTCCGCTCCAACTAATCAATCTGTATACACTTTGAATAGACGGGCTCCCGTTCTAGATGAACTGGAGGCTGCATCTGATGAGAATCGACCTCAACATGCTCACGATAGACCAGTTACCTTTTACACTACCACAACTCATTATACTACGATATTATTACCCACCGGTGGATCGACCATTTTGAGTAACATTGATGTAAGAGCGAGTGTCACCCGATTGGCCAGTGATCAGATACTTCCAACTCGAGAAACTGAACCATTATCATCGTCAGTTGATTCAGAACCATTTGCAAGTTCAATCGATTCGCGATCAAGACCAATTCCTGGAAATGATCAGATTGAGACAACACTTTCAACTTCAATTTCTCCACCGTCACGATACGATTATGGTACCAACCAGGTCGAAGTTGTTAGTACCGTTAACATTCATAAAACACGAGAAACTGATCCACTTTTAACCTACGAAACAACATTAACCTATTTTACAACATTTTTCGATGGATCTCGACCAAGTCGAACTGAAACCCGACGAGAAACTGTCACTGAGATTAGACGAAACAGTTTGATTAATCCAAGTAGTACACGAAAACCTACAGTAATCAGACGAACCCGATTACGAGGCGGAGCTCGCGACATTTTACCAGATCCAAGAGATGGGTCACATTTAACTCGAAAACCAGTAGTTGTTATAACCAAAAAGCCAATAGAACCAACCGTTACCTTGGCTGAAAGGCCGTTTGCCTCTGTCGATCCTAACCACCATCACCATGGACACTTAGATGCTCACCATGTCAGCGGCGGGCCAATAATCGCACCCTCTCCGATCACCTACTTCACAACTCATACATACTTTACAACTGAACTAGTTGGTGGTTTTCCTGTTGTTCGTAGTCGTGAACAAGTTTTTTCAACCATAATTAAAGACAGAATCTTACCGACTCGTGGTGGATTCGGCTTGAGACCAACAATCTCATTCCGTGCTAAAAGATCACTCAACGATGGTGATGATTTAATAATGGAAGAATCAAATTTAGATCCAATGGCTTTTGAACTTCCAGGAGGAGATATTGTATCAAAATTTAGTGATTCCGATAAATCAGAATTTTCCGAAGGAATAGTTGAAACTGAGGACGAATTAAGAAATGCCAATAATGATGAAACGATAACCGTCTCATCATCCTCTTCATCTTCATCAAATGAAACAAAATCAACAAAAGAAATGGGTACGTACAATTTGTCTATTAAAAAATCATTCGATTCCACTTTCAATGACTTATCCTCCTTAGAATCAATTTCTGCTTATGCTTTAGCGTCCGCAGCGTTTTCGCAGTCACAACCATCATCCTCCTCGTCGCTCGTTATGTCTCCATCTTCCGTCTCTGTGCTTATTTCTCCTTCCTCATCCTCGGTTTCCCTGGACTCAATGGGTTCTCCTTCCAATCCTCAACCTCAACCTCAACCGGTGGGCATTATATCCTCCCAAATCTCTTCCGTTATCAATGATGGTATTACTACCCTCTTCACTACCCAAATCTATGGTACCTACATTGGAACCATTTATGCTCATCTTGCGAAAACCCAAACCTCCCAGTTATCACCTTCACCATCATCATCACCTCAAGTAAATCCATCGACCAGTTTACCCACTGGTTTGATATCAGAATCGGTTCGTAGTGAGATTCATTTGGGTACAACAACTTTGTATAAAACTCAAGTTCATGGTACATTTATCAATGGTGTTTATGCTCATTTTGGTCAGGTAACATCAACATTGATTGATTCTCATTCACCGTCGACTGTTGAACTGACCCAATCCCCAATTTCCGTATTAACTTCAACTGAGATTAATTCTGATAAGACAACTATTCATACATCAGAAATTTATCAAACTATGATTTCGGGTTTTAGTGCACAATTTACCAGAACAACTTCGAGTATTGTTCCAGAATCAAGTACAGTTAATACTCAATTGGTAAGTCCTTCGGTAAGCTCAACATCAACACGACCTTTCCTCGTTTTTCCAAGTCGTAAGCATAGAGGTTCAAATGCAATAAACGCCAATGGTTTTGGTTCTGATGTTTCATCGGCTTCAATTGTCATTCAAACAGTTACCAAAACAGTTACTGCGACACCAGTAACTGAATCAATTCCTAAATCGGCGATTGTTGAATTAGGTCTAGGTGAAGATCGAGACTTGGCAACCTCTGATGATGTGCAAGGTGATTCAAATTCGGGTAAGAATTCAATTGTTAATGATGACGAACTCAAAGAGACGGAATATTTTGACGATAATCGAGAGAGTGGTTCAGAAAAGGTTGAAGTTGATCACAGGGGTGGATATGATCCAGAGGCTCATGAAGATGTTCACCATGAGGATGCAGTTGAACATCCAACCCGAAGAATAGGTCGACGACTTAGACCAACTCGAGAGGGAAGTCGTTATTATGATTATGAAGGTCCACCAGCAGATCAGCCATCGGTACCAAGTACCAATGATGAAACGTCTTATGGTTCATCTCAAAATTCCAGATTCAATTTGAACAACGATGGTAGGTATTCAGGTTATGCTGACCCATATTCATCTCAACCCCTTCAACCAGCTCCATTACCAGTTCAACCTGTTGCCCCACCAGTAGCACCAGCAGCTCCACAAGCTCGTTACAAAGGTGTTTTCGGTCAACGTGTTGGGTCATCAGGAAGATCATCATCACCAGTTTCTCCACCATTATCATCGCCATCTTTTGATTACGATTCATATTCACTTTCTGCGCCGATTTCACAGCCTCAACCACAACCACAATCGCCCCCACAACCACAGCCTCAACCTGCCCTGATACCACATTCTCGAGGTCGTTTTGCTGCTGATTCTATCAGTACTAATCGACAAGCAAGTCAATCACCAGCACCTCGCGCTGTTGAAGTATTACAACCTTTTCAAAATGTCCACGAATCTCTATCTGATCGAGTGTATCCTTCAAACCCTCCACCTTCAACAACAAATCGACGAACATCAAGTAGATCAACATCTTCAACATCGTCCTCATCTCAGTCAGGCCGCCGTCGTTCATCATCAAGTTCATCTCGATCTAATGAAGATCCAAGTTTTACTGCAGCTACTCCTCGTCCAACAATAGCTGAACGTCCTTTAGTCTCACGATATCAAAGTCCAAAACGTCAACAAGCTCAACAATCGCAACCACAATCTAATGGCCGTTCAAATCGAGGTCGACCCTCATCTCGAGGATCAGCCTTTAATGTACAAAACGAGCCAGTAGCTGCTCGTGTTCAAGTTGATCCTCCAGTTGAAGATCCAATTATCGAAGAAGAGGTTTACATCGAACCTTCACCACAGCCTCGTGGACGTAATCACTTTTCCGTCTCACCTCGAGTTCGTTCATCGGGAAAAACTCGTCGAATCATATTAAACAATAATCCAGAGCCAAGTCGACCTCCACCCGTCGCAGTACCAGTAATAAATGCATCTCCTAGTCCATCATTATATTATCCACCATCTCTATTAGCTTCATCTTCAGAATCCTCACCACCCTTACCCACTCCGGATGTACAGAAAACACCGATAACAATAACCTCACTTGTCTCTGTCATCAAAACCTTGCCCATTCGTCATGGTTTCCTAACATCCTATGCAACAATTACAACGACAGCATTTAACAGATCAGTAATTAATCCCAATGAATATCAATTACGCCTTAATCCAACCAATACAATAGAAACACTGACAATCTACAGTTCATCGACAATTGAACCAACCAAAGTTCGTGAAACCCTAATCACCACAACCACTTTACTTGAGGTTAAATTAGTTCCAATACGAATTGGATTCTCAACTCGAACCGATACTCTAACTGATACCCAAGTATTGACAACCTTTACCACCTCTGATCGAACCATACATCCAACCGTTCACCATGCTTACCCTTTTCCCGGTTTAGGTAATGATCCTAATGCAGTGGCCGCTGGCGGAAATGCATTCTTACCCTCCGGTGGAATACCTTATTTGCATGGAGGTATTATCGGTGGAGGTAACGGTGCACAGATAACTTTTAGTCAGGTCACTGCAACAATCACCGGAATCACAACTCTTTCCTCAACCAGAGTAGTTTCCTTAACACTTCATGGTAAAACCCTTTTATCCACCCTAACCCTAACCTCAACCCTTGCAACTACCTCAGTGACAACCTCACTGGTCCCAATTCCGTTAGCACCATCAATACCCCAACTAATTACCTCTCAACCACCAATGGTTACAACCTCCCTAACCATTCAACTTACCGGTGATTCGGGTGATGTTACCGAACTGATTACCGTCCTAACAATACCAGGACAAATTTTCAATACCAAAGTTAAACGTTCAGCTCCATCAATTGAATCAACACCCGTCAACTTTAATCAAATGTTCCCAATTGAAAAAACTTTAGCTCCTTCAATGTTTTCAGTGTAAATCAAACAACGTTAATTGTTTTAATTCAATCAACAATTTTCCTCTAAATAACCTAACTGTGTCCATCTTACACCTTTACCTGCCTGCTTTACTTTTGCATGTTAATTTTATTGCCTTCTAATTGTAATTTAATTGCCTGTCTTTGTGTTAATATCTTCGAGGTGGAAAAAGAAATCATTTGTTCATATGTACAGAAAAAGGGAGTGGTAACCTCGGTGCATTTATGTTGATTTGCTATTGTTATTTGTTGACATTTTCCCTTTAATTTTTTGTTTCTACCCCAAAAAAAACAATATGTAATTGATATTCAAATCTACTTTTACCTGTCGTAATTGCAAGCGCTTATATAAATACCCAAACAATCAACATCAACATACAATCAATGCCCTTGATCAAATCAAATAATCATCGTTTTCTGGCCAATGCCTCCTTAATGGTCCAATTCATACAATTACCTTTTATAAATGGTCAATTTCCTTATTCATTGATAAATAATTTTTCTCATTTTCTCTTTTTCTCTTCACTCACTCTCTTGCTGATTAATATTATTATTTAATTATCTTCAATTGAAGGTGTAAAAAACATTTCTCATCATTAATCATCTTCATCATCATCTTAAGGGAAAAGTAATTACCAAAAAAGAAAAGGATTAATAAGATAATATATAAGTTAATTAACTAATCAACTATTGGAAACAATTCTAAGCTACTGTTACTTTTTTTTCATACTCATCTGGATGCCAATTGGATAAATCATCATCACGATTAATATATTTCCCATTTCTCTTTAATCCATTAATCTAATCGTACTCTTTATTGTTTTTCCCTTGATTGTTAATGATTAATAAATTGTATTGATACAAATAAAAAGAAAAAAATCATCAACAGCTAATCAACCATAAAGAAATGATTGTTACCTTGAGAAAGTAACGGATTCCAATTTAATGGATTATAATTCATCATCATCATGATTATATTATTATCATCATCATATTCACCACTTTCATCACAATAATAATCATCATCACCATCACCCGCCATGATCATCACCTTGATTTTTTTGTTCATTTCCTTTTTTCCCAACTAATTGTGATGAAGAAAACGAAACATGATCAATATAAACACAGAAAATCACCCATAGAGAAAGCAAAGCCATTGGAATCAACTGAATTCCTAATTATCGTTGAAAATTTTTCTTCTTCATCATCATCATATTAATTTGCCATAATAATAACTGTCACCTTTCCTCCTTTATCATTTAATTGCGACAATCATCATCACGATGATTTGATTATTATTACTAATCAAATGGTAATACAATAAATGAGCATTTTCTTACCTTTCCCTTACCTAAAAGTCCGAGACAATCAATAAATTGTTTTATAAATAACAACTCTAATTACTTGAATAAATATCATCACAATTAAATATTAGCCTTACAATTTATTAAATTCATTTCTCTAATATTAAAACTATTACATAGTCCAGCGATTAACTGATCATGTTAGACCAAAACAATCCAGTCCAATCAAATTGTAATTTACGAGACAATTTAAAAGCAATTTAACAATTAAATTAAGTATTTACACACATGTCATTTACACAAATGATCACAATTCATTAATCATCAGTAAACTTAATTAAATCCAATGCCATTTAAATCAAATAGAGAATGAAAAAAAAAGTTCAATCCAACTATTTACTATTCATAGTAAATGTTGTATTTAAAATAGTAAATTGTTGTTGATTAAATGTTTCTCGTAGTTTATTTCACTTTAATCAACAATCAGCATGGTAAATATCAATTAATAAATTTTCTTTTGTCACAATTAAGTGTTTCTATCAACAACACCAACAATTTGGATGACAATGGTTAACAAACAATCAGGTAAAAATAACTTAATTTCTCAATTAATCAACAATTAAACTTACATGTATATGTATTAATACATTTGAGTTGATTGAAGTGAAATTTGTTTCCAATTAAAGTGTAATAAGAAAAACAAATCAACATAAACAGTGAAATACAATTAACAATAAATGAGTCAATATAAATTAAACTTTAATGGTTAATTGTAAATCAATAATACAATACAAGTATATGGAGGTAATTAAGTTGTCTTTTAATCAATTGGTAAACATTATTTTCCCATCAAAATGATTATCATTTAAAAAAATGTATGATAATCACATTGGATTAACAATCATATGTGAATTATGTTACCAAATGAACAGAAAAAATCAACTAATCATGATTTAATACGATAACAATAGTAATAATAACATAGGAAATTGCATATTGACGTGATTCAGCAAATTGTTGTCAAGAATGAATTAAATTGTAGACAAAGTATTTAATATTTTAGTGCCAAGGACAAAACAAAAGCTATTGATGATTTTTTTTTCCATATCAGAATATATATTTGATCAGTTAAGGATGATGATGATGAAGATGATGAAGGTAACTTACCTGAAAGATTGTAAGGGAAAGTAATGATGATGATGATGATGATAGTTGTTGAAGACTTTACCTGTGTTAGGATGATAATTGACAATTAGTAGTTGATTATTTGGTTTCCAGGTAAAAACAACGTAAGCTTAAATCACTATTTACTTACCTTTGATTACTTAATCATCATCATTAATCATCATCATCAATTGACTTCTAGTGTTTTTTTTTAGTTTAAACACTTACCCTACCCACTTGTTGCTCACATTAACTTATATATACATTTACATGAATCTGCATCACCTTCATCATTTACGAAATTAATTTCACCATCAGCTGATCATTCATCTTGCTAATTGTTAATATATTTTTACCATTTTTTTTTTTTGCTTTATAAATTTATTTTTATTCTTTACCTTGATTTTCATTTGATAATTTGCCACAGGGGATGAATTATTAATCAATTTTTAATCAATTAAACCATTGGAGTCAATAGTTAATTTCAATCTTTCTTTTGCTTGTGAATCTTTTTCTCTCGTTTTTTATTTATTTATTATCAACATTTCTTATTGGATTAAATTGTTTTTATGTGTCTTTCTTGGATTAACTGTGATTGGAAAAGTTTTTCAATAGATTATAATATTTATTATCTTTGGATTAATACCTGTGCTTGTTTATCTTAAACCAAGTGAAACAAAAAGTGAAACATATCAACAACATTTCAAATTAATTGCAATCAAACTAATTAACTTGCTTATTTGTTAATTTGCTCGTTATCACCACCATCATCATATACGATTGATTAAGTTAATTGATTGAAATTAGAAAAGGAAGAAGAAGAAAAAAACATAAACAAATAGTGAGAGAGAGAGAAAGTGAAACTCGGTGGGAATAAGTTACTATCTCAAGGGAATGAGACACTGATTAAAGAGAGAGAGAGAGAGAGAGAGAGAGAGAGAGAGAGAGAGAGATAAGATAAAGAAAGAGAAAAAGAAAGAAAAAAAATATGATAGTGAGAGAGGAACTTCGATATCGCCGAGGAACTGCCGTAGGCCCTTTTATCCCGAATCATAATTTACTAAAAATACCTTTGGGTCGACCACGTAAGGCAAGTTTGCCGATAATTGCACCGTTGCGGTTGATTGATAATAATTTATCATCATCATCAACAACTCTAACAACATCATCAACTGCATTACTGGATTTACCTTTATCAGGTATCCCATCATCAACCACAACAGGTAGTGCATCAGTAGTAACACCATCATCATTTTTATTATCATTACCATCATCATCATCATTAGCAACAAGTAATTCAACAGGCAACAATAATTATTCCTCTTATTATGATCGTACCTTTGGTTTAAATTGTTATTCAAGTGTCACTGATGATGATTCAGATTCTTCACCTGATACAATATTGATTGAATCGGGTAAAAGGTTAAGTGCCGTTGGTCTTGCGTTTGGTCAACATTTACAAACGATGGCTCTTAAATTGTCCACCAACAATCAGGATATTGTGAATAAAACTCGTATTCTTTGTGCAAGATATGTGAGAACGAAATTGGCCAAAAAGGGTTTACTCGAGAAACACTCTAAGCAATTGAATCGACTTCGATCAATGAGCAATATTGACTTTGATCCACTTTTGGTTGACCTAATGGAAGCGATAAGTGACCTAATCGATGAGATGGATCGAAGATCATCAGGTCTTTTTGACTCTGCCATTAATCGATCGGGTTCCAATGTGTCCATATTATCAACTTCGGGTCGAGCATCAATGGCATTAACTATTATTTTCGATGAAATTTTTCGAGACTCAATTAGTTGGCCTAAAATCGCGGCCATGTTTGGTGTAACCGGTGCACTTGCCGTTGATTGTGCTTCCAAAGGTAAACAAGATTATCTGACCAGTTTGGTTGACACTGTGGGTAAATACACTGAGGGTAAAGTGTCTCGGTGGATTCATAGTCAAGGTGGTTGGGTAAGTTGAATTGATTTTAGTTAATCCGATAATCTCATTTGATTATTGTTTCCATTGTTTTCTTTACAATTATCAAAAGTCTCATCAAACTAATTGTTGATTGTTTGTATTGTCTCCTCTTATCGTTTCTCTCCAAGTCAATTTACTAATTGTTATCATTTTACTTCTTAATCAACAGTCAAGTTTAATTTATTGTTACAATAAAGGATCATCATGGACTCGACCTCTTCAATATTTGGGTTTAATTGCTGCTTTTTTCACTCTAATTGTGAGCATCATTTGGTTTAGATTTTAAATTATTTTAAAATTATCTCTTCCGTCTTGATAACTCAATTTAATCATTACAATCATGTCGTAACAATGTGAGTATTTATAAATTAGATAATTTAATTTTCATTGGTATTTTTTGCTTTCTGAGTTCAGGGTTACAAGCTCATAGACTCTTATAATAGCCTCAATTTACAATCAAATCAGTAAATCAAATATGTTGTAACTTAATCATCTTGATTGTCACATTTATCTAAATTGTTACTCATAAAAAAAAGTTCCTCAATTTGAACAATAATTGTTTCATTTGACTGAAATCTTTTTATCATTTCATTTTCTATTCTCAGATTATAATGTTATCATCTTTTCCCGCTGATTTTTGAACATTTGAATTGGGATGATTTTGATACTTGGCTGGATTGAGAAAATTTCCCCACAGACAATCAATCACTAAATCATTCAATTATTTATCTACTGATTGATCTTTCAGCTTGATTACTACAATTAATAATAGTGATTATTGTATTGCTAATTGTTGAAAGCAATTCAAAGTTTTATTTTTATTTTAGTTCATTTTGAGTGTCACCGACATCACTATTAATTAATCACTACATGTATTAACGACGATTTGATCGTTAGGAAAAAGGTGAATTTGTTTATATTAATTTGAAATTCTATTAAAAATCAGCAAGGTAAGATTGGAAAGTAATGTTTATGATCAATCAAGTCTTTAATTCTCATGGTTTTTTCTATTCTTAATCCATAGTTTACTAAACACTCAAGGGACAAGTTTGTAGATAAAGGATGACATTTACATGGTAAATATAATGGAAACCGGAAGATAATCTCACCTGAATTCTGTAAAATTTTCAAACTGAATCAACAAGTCACTTGAAACATACAAATGGATTAATCATTAACTGATCTGAACCTCAAACTAATTAAATAATTTCATCTAAGTCAATCATTAGGCCAATTCTATTGACCATCTCATCTTGATGACCACCACTTTGCCAACCATTAATACTAATTATGGATAATTAATTGATCCGTGATAATTTATGAACTTAAAGCCAATACCAACCCAAACACTGGATAACTATTTATATCATTAATAATCTGGAAAAATTTTCAAGAGAAAAAAGTTTTATCAATAAAAAAAATGTTTCGTTTCATCAATGAACTTACTCATTTACTCATTTCTTCAGGATATGGAAAACTAAATTTACAATTATGTTCATTGATTCTCAACTGATAGTTAGAGTTAAATAAATTTTCTGATACATGGATAAACTTTTCAATATAATACAAGTAAAGATGATACAATTAATTGTAGCATATAAATGTTAATGTTTCCGATGGAACAATTAACAAAGGATGTGGGTTTTGTTTGAGTAATAAAAAGGAAACGTAATCAATTTTAAATTGTCTTGGTGAAAATTAACATAACCAGTAATCCAAGGCTTATTTGATAATTCATCTCAATCTAAAATCAACCTTCATGAGATTCATTAAATTTTACAAGAGACAGAATTTACTACTTAAATTGTTGCCCGACTTATTGTTTTATCTTTTCTGATTAAGTTGTTTTCTGTTGCTCCATTGAAAATTACAATTATGGTTACGGAAAGATCAACTGATCAACCTGAAAGTAAATCAATTGATTGTCAGAATATTAATCATGAAAAGTGTGAACATATTTCCGATCTAATTGGTTCATGGGGTTCACTTCAAAAGCGCCTCTTTGTACTTCTCTCAATTGTCTATTGTGCCTCTCCTTATAATAATGTCGCCATTTTTTTCTATGCGACTAAAAGTGACATTATCTGTCTTAATTCTGACGGATCAGAGGTAAGTTATCACCATGATAATGAGATAATCTATTATCAACTCAACTCTCTGATTTAATAATCTAAGTGATTTTTTTTTGCTGCAAAAACAATAGACTAAATTTGCTGCTGACAAATGTTCATTTACTGAATTAAATTCATGCTCATCATGGTATCACAATACAACTCGAGATACAGTTAATAAAGAGGTGAGTCTCTATTCTGATTGCTGATTGGAATTAGATAATTGAGTCTTTTTCCTTACAACAACAGTGGAATCTTATTTGTGAACGTTATTGGCTTCGATCTGTTGTTCTTTCGGCATATCAATTTGGTTACTTGATCTCTGGTCTACTCGTCGGTTATATTTCCGATAGATTTGGACGTAAATTGGCCATTTTACTCTGCCTACTTTTAGAAATCGTTTGTTCCCTTGGTCTAATTCTGTCACCCAATGTCACCTCTTTCATTGTTATTCGTGTTTTCCATGGTATCGGAGGGAATGGACGTTTCTTTGCTTCGCTCATTTTACGTAAGTTATGTCAAAAATACTTGAATTTATATCGAACACAGAGAATATCAATTGAGTTCGAAGAATCTTTCTTTTAATATTCTTTTTACTTTTTCAATTCCTATTTCTAGTTCTGGAAAGTGTTGGGCCAAAATTAAGAGGTCGTGTCTCAGTTAGCTATGAATGGAATTGGTATATCGGTGAATATCTTATGATGGCTGTCACTTATAACGTCATGAATTGGAAATCTATTTACATGGGGACCATGATTTTCCAAATTCTATGCATCGGTATTGTATGGATAATTCCTGAATCAGCTCGTTGGCAACTTGTCGTCGGACAAACGGATAAAGCTGAGAAAACGTTACGATTATACGCGAAAAAGGACAAGATGGAACATCTCGAGGGGACTAATGGGGATATGTTATTCAAACGAAGGTTTGATAAATTGAAAGATCATCTGGTTACTGAGAAGCGAATAGAAAAATCAAAGGGATTTTCGACCTACTCCGTTCACCTCGAACATTAAGGTATTGTTTTGCTCTTTATGCTATTTGGTTTCTTCGAACACTCATCGATTGGGGCTTATTCTACAGTACCCTTGACTTTTCGGGCAATGTCTTCGTCAACAACGCCATCATATTATCAGCAAGTGTCGCAACTAATGCTTTCATGAACTGGAAGATTGATTCATTCAAACGAAAATCAATGTTAATCACCATGTTCTTAGCAACTTCGGTTCTTCTTTGTGCCTCGATTCCAGTAGTCGAATCTGATAGATACATCGTTATTCGGATGATTCTGATTGCGCTTGGTAAATTTTTCTCTTCTGGTATCTACATTTTACTCTACGTTTACACATCAGAACTTTTTCCAACCAGCATTCGACATTTCGGTCTAGGAACTTGCTCATTTGCATCACGAATCGCTTCAGTTTCAGCGCCTTTTTTAGCACAATTGGTAAGATCTAAACCTAGATTTCCTATAAAATTGAATTCAACTACTAACGAAATTATATTTCGTGTTCTTAAACAGTCTGTAAAATTCAAGCCTCATAGCAGGTTGATGAATTCAGCTCAGACCTAATTGTTATTAAGTTTGCTAAAAATCTTTTCAAGTATCGAATCTAATTAAACCATTCTTCATTTCTGTTCTTTAGACTACAGTTACGAGTCTTAAATTTACATTTGGACTTTTCGTCTTAATGGGAATAATCGGAGCTTCGGCAGCGTACTTTTTACCAGAGACGAAAGATAAAGAGATTCCAGATACAATTGAAGGAATGATTGAGATGCACTCAATCAATGACCAATCTTGATTATGAGAACAATCAAGATAAATTCTCAGTCTAATGTGGGCCATCAAATTTTGTAAAATTTTAACGATTAATTTTTAATTTGGACTAATAAGTATCTAGCATGATGAACATTTGCTTTGAAAACTATTAAAAGAAACAGGAAATTGATTAAGATCATTGTTTTATTAGTTTCTTAATGTTAATTGGATTTACTAGAAGAAAAGAATGACCACACACGCCTAAATGGCTAATGTTTTATTCATTAACTTCAGAGAGTAGTCCTGAAGACCCTTGGTGGGCACTGAACATCGCTCAGTTTACGAATAAAAACTCGTAATTCTACCAAGAGATGGCAGATCCTTCGTTCGCTTTTTTCTGGTTAACCATGTGGTTGATTAGCATTTCATTACCTAATCTTGATCTGTTTTCAATTGTAATTAACTTTTAATTACTGATTATTAATAATAAAGAAAAATTTTCTCTCCAAGTTAACCGACAGTCAAAATTGGTGTCTCTTTGAAATAATGATGTTTTTGCTTTTTAGAGTAAACCCAAAGTTTTCTGAGAAAACGTTTTCAAATCCCTATTATATTTAATCATTAACAACTTTAATCAATTACTAAATAATCCTTTAATTAATAAATCACATGCTGATCATCCTGTCATCATAAGATTATCCCTATGGGGATATGATAAGTTTTGAAAACTTAATTTTCCTCTAATTGATTTTGCTTTTCATTTGTGTTGAGCGTCAATAGTTTCAATGTTTTGTCAACTTTTTTTTTGTAAGATTAACAGTTAATTAATCAACAGATTAGTTGATCTACATTCTTATCCATGTCCAAAAATGTTAATTCCGATAATCAAATCTCATCGAATCTACTTGACTCTCTCGGTAAACTTTCTCTTCAACAAATTGTGATACTAGTGATCAGTTAATTGACTCCTCTTCAATATCTTCCTCTAAAAATAAATCATTGCCAACACCCTTGCCTTCATCTGACGTTCATTCATCAGATGAGTTAAAAGAAGAGAATGAAAATGAAACTGTCCAGAAAACGGAATAGTTACGAATTTTTCTTCATTTAGGCTTCCATTTCCTAAAGAGCCAATAATCGATGTGTTGAATTTCAAAGATTGTAACTTGGACTGGACGTTTTCCGCAGATACTGATCTTGGTAATCCAAAGAGATTGGGCTACTTTTCCTGTCAAATTGCGGCTGATGGAAAGACACAGTCATATCATCCCGATAAATCAGCATCGCGTTACTTGCATTACTTCCATAAAAAGAAGATAAACATGGATCTTCTTGTCGGTTTCCATCCCGAAAAGACCTGGGGTCGTGTTCCTCCTGGTGAGATGCACATCTTGAGATGGTTTAATGACAATTTCTACGAGTGTACCCACCAAGAAGACAACGAAGAAGACGATGAAGGCAAAGTAGAAGAAGTTAGCATTGATTTCATTTGTTATACTCGAATGTTGCGATCTGTCATGAATGCACCTTACAACAATCGACAAGATTGGATTTGTATAGCGATCAAAGTTCGTGAATCGATTATATTAGACGAAATTGATACACCTTCGAGACAAGCATCCACTGATGGACAAACCAATCGTCAAAAGGCTGCTTCGTATGCAGGATACAAATTTGAAGAAATTATCACCCGCAGGTACGATGGAGTTCACAGGCCAACTCACGACGAAGGAAATCGTGATTCTTTCTACATTGTTTCCAAAGTCAAACTTAATAAACATACAATTCTATATTGTAATCGAGTCGATTGTGCCCTGAATAAAGATCAGTTGGATAAACCAGTTGACAAAATGGAATTCGCCCAGATTAAAACTCGATCCGCGAATTACTATACTGCTCATCAAGCTAAAACCTTTTTCTGGAGAAAAAAAGTTATACCTTGGTGGATCGAATCCATGCTTGGCAATATTAATCAGATTGTCTGTGGAGATAAAGATGACAATTTTTACATAAGAAAAATCTCAAAATTGCAGGTTAACAGTTTACCTGATGAAAGAAATATTTGGTCACCACGAACTTGTGTCACTTTCTTGGACATGTTTCTTTCATTCATAAAATCAATGGTAACTGATGAATTGACACCATATCGATTCTATTGTGTTCCTGGTAAAGCAATTGTTTGCCAAAAGATGAATGAACCAGTAGAAAATTATTTACCCTCTTGGTTTATCAATGATGAAGAGCCATATGACTAATTAATCAATAAACGATATGATATTCTTACCTTTTGAAGTTTTATATCCGTTTTTATTTATCTATTTTACAAGATATCTTTTTAACAACCTGAAGTTATCGAAGTTTTATTCAACCGGATCTGGGTTGGATTCTCATTTTCAAATTATGGGGACTTAATAGGATAGTCCCTTTTTCGAATTTTAAGTCTTTTGATGTTTCGTGAGTTGGTAGAATTTTATAATTTCTGACAAGAGTTGCTAAGACAAGTTTAGCGTTCATGAGAGCGAATCTCATTCCGATACAAATTCGAGGTCCAGCTCCAAATGGTAAGAATGTAAACGGTTTTGGTGATTGATAGATGAACCTTTCTGGTTTATACTCTTCGGGGTCATTATAATTATCAGGATCATGATGAATCGCGTGAATAGGAATAGTAATTCGAGTATTTTTTGGAATGGAAATATTAGTTCCTGGTAACGTGTAATCTTCATGAGCAGTTCTTTGGAAAACAACAACAGGAGGATCAATTCTTAGAGTTTCATTAATAACAGCATCGAGATAAGTGAGACCACTAAGAACATCATAATTTTGAACATCGGCTGCACTGACTTCTTCGAAGAGCTTTTCTTGGACATTTTGATTGAGTGCGAGTCGATAACAAGCCCAAGTTAATAGAGTCGAAGTAGTCTCGAATCCTGCAATAAGGAAGACGACTGAAGCTGAAACAATTTCTTCTGAAGTCAATTTAACCTTTGTAGCATCTTTACTGTCATCATCTACTTCTGGTGATTCCGAATCAATTAAGATCTGCAGGAGATCCTCGACTTTGTCTTTTCTATTTTTCCGTTTTTCGATTAAAGCTAAAGTCAAATCTCTCAGGTACTCAATATTTTTGACTGGAAATCCTGAAATTTTTAGAGCTTTTGTTAACCATTCGGGTACACTGAAAATGAATAAGAATCTTATTGGGTCACCAGTAACTACTTTGGTAAAATTTTGCTGTAAAATGCTTTCTTCATCACTGTAGACATCAAGATTAGCGGCGAAACAGCATTTAGCGATTACATCCATGTTATAACGTCCCCAGAACTTTCTTGGATCAAAGGAACTACTTTGAGTCTTGGATAATTTTTCCAGCGCTTTAAGCGCATCTTGAGTACAACCTTTGATGAGGGTGAACATTTTCTTCATCTTTCCCGAAGTAAATGTTGGCGATAACAATGATCGCATTCGTTTCCATTTGGGACCATAAAGTTTTGTTAAGAAATTTTCTTCAACTGGACTTAGATAAATAGCATGAAAACTAGCAGGGAATACACTGAAATCCTTTATGCAAATATCTCGAATCAATTCCGTGTCGCCAATGTTCAAATGGGGTTTTAGTCCATCGAATGTACTGAATTAGATGGGAAAAAAGTTGATTTTTTGAGATAACAGCCAACATACGATAACATTGAAAATCTAATTACCAGAAATTCAACCTGAACAAACATTAATGTGTTGGTGAAAAGGATACATCCAAAATACAATATAAACAAAACTTCTAACTTACCCATAAATTTTTCCATATTTTCTGTAATAATTATCGTGTAATTTAGCTAAATGGGATACAAGGTTTTCGAGAGTATTTCCAATGAAAAAGGTTGGCTTAGGACCTTTGACACCTTGACATTTCCAGAATGAGTGTTTTCTTTTCACGAGACTTAATTAAATTGAAAGATAATTTGCGATTAATAGGCTAGAATCTTGAATTTAAACTTTAAACTTACAAAATTAGAAAAGCGATGAAAATTATGATACACAATAGAATCAAATGATTAGATTTTAACTGCGTTGTTCCGATCATTATTGGAGAATTACTGATAACTTTTGTGAACGAGAAACTTGAACAATTATCTAAGCTCTGATCATGGTCTGATTACTTATAAAACGATGTTGCAAGATTGTCTCCTTTAAAAGATACATCATGTTGAAGTGCTTCATCTCCTTCATCTCCTTTTCATCATATCAATGTTGCAGCGAACGAGGTGGATTTGAAATAGGTACAGGACCTAAGGTCAATCCATAGTCAATAGATAGGGTTTCAAGAGTAATTCACTTGAAGATTATTGGATATATTTTCAGGGTGTTGTAGTTAAAACGGAAAATTATCTTACCCTGGATTGTGATGCGGAGATGACAATTTAATTGTATCCAAGAAATGTTGGTTTTAATTGGTTTTAACTTTAATAGTTGATTATGGAAAATTGTAATTGAATTTTTTGGTTATTCAGCTGATTTGCATGTTTGATATAAATTAAATTTAGCTCCAACAAGTTTACACTTGAATTGTAGAAAGAAAGGTTAAACTTTATTTAATCACGTAAAGGTATAAAATTTCCCTTTTCATTTTAGAGTATTAGTGTACTGAAACAATATTTATCAGTCGAAAAACTCGCAAAATTCTAATGTGAAGATGAATAAGCAAAAAATAAACCTTGTATCTTGTAAATTTTACGCAGAGAATAAAGTTCATATTTGTTTGATCAGACACCACTGAAAATCGTATAAAAACGCGAAGTTAAAGTTACATTTTATCAAACAAGTTCATCTTATTCTTTCAACAAGTTTGTGAAAAGACAAAATGAATAATCTTCTTATTTTTTTCACCTTAACGGTCGTTGCATTCACTGCAATAGATCAAACTGATGCTACTTTCCCAATGGGAATGTCACCAGTCAAAATAAACATGAAACTGACAAACCCTATGAAAATGTTTTCTAGAAAGCCTGCAGCTACCCCATCATCAGAGTCAAAATCTGAAGCTGAGTCTGCTGCAAATACTGGGAACAAAAGCAATACCGCTTCTGCATCTGACAGTGAAGATTCAAACACGGAAAGCGATGGCAACCCTATGGATGAGTATGATGATACAGATGACGACAAAGATTCATCGGACTTAGGACCATCTCCAACTAGGTCAGATTCTGCTGCGGCCTCATCGAGATCATCTTCCAGCTCAGGAACAGGTTCAACCAGCAACTCTGACTCTTCATCACAAGCAGAATCGTCAACAACTGGTTCAACATCATTCTCTAATGCAAGTGACTCATCAGGATCATCATCTGGTTCAGGATCATCAACTGGTTCACCTAACAACACTGGTTCATCATCATCATCAGGAACTGGCTCAGGATCATCATCTGCTGCTGGTGCTTCAGGTGCTTCATCAGGTTCTGCTGCTGCTGCTTCTTCAGGTGCCTCATCAGGTTCATCATCTGGTTCAGGATCATCAACTGGTTCACCTAACAACACTGGTTCATCATCATCATCAGGAACTGGCTCAGGATCATCATCTGCTGCTGGTGCTTCAGGTGCTTCATCAGGTTCTGCTGCTGCTGCTTCTTTAGGTGCCTCATCAGGATCATCATCTGGTTCAGGATCATCAACTGGTTCACCTAACAACACTGGTTCATCATCATCATCAGGAACTGGCTCAGGATCATCATCTGCTGCTGGTGCTTCAGGTGCTTCATCAGGTTCTGCTGCTGCTGCTTCTTCAGGTGCCTCATCAGGTTCATCATCTGGTTCAGGATCATCAACTGGTTCACCTAACAACACTGGTTCATCATCATCATCAGGAACTGGCTCAGGATCATCATCTGCTGCTGGTGCTTCAGGTGCTTCATCAGGTTCTGCTGCTGCTTCTTCAGGTGCCTCATCAGGTTCATCATCTGGTTCAGGATCATCAACTGGTTCACCTAACAACACTGGTTCATCATCATCATCAGGAACTGGCTCAGGATCATCATCTGCTGCTGGTGCTTCAGGTGCTTCATCAGGTTCTGCTGCTGCTTCTTCTTCAGGTGCCTCATCAGGTTCATCATCTGGTTCAGGATCATCATTTGGTTCAGGATCATCAACTGGTTCACCTAACAACACTGGTTCATCATCATCATCAGGAACTGGCTCAGGATCATCATCTGCTGCTGGTGCTTCAGGTGCTTCATCAGGTTCTGCTGCTGCTCTTCCAGGTGCCTCATCAGGTTCATCATCTGGTTCAGGATCATCAACTGGTTCACCTAACAACACTGGTTCATCATCATCATCAGGAACTGGCTCAGGATCATCATCTGCTGCTGGTGCTTCAGGTGCTTCATCAGGTTCTGCTGCTGCTTCTTCAGGTGCCTCATCAGGTTCATCATCTGGTTCAGGATCATCAACTGGTTCACCTAACAACACTGGTTCATCATCATCATCAGGAACTGGCTCAGGATCATCATCTGCTGCTGGTGCTTCAGGTGCTTCATCAGGTTCTGCTGCTGCTGCTTCTTCAGGTGCCTCATCAGGTTCATCATCTGGTTCAGGATCATCAACTGGTTCACCTAACAACACTGGTTCATCATCATCATCAGGAACTGGCTCAGGATCATCATCTGCTGCTGGTGCTTCAGGTGCTTCATCAGGTTCTGCTGCTGCTGCTTCTTCAGGTGCCTCATCAGGTTCATCATCTGGTTCAGGATCATCATCTGGTTCAGGATCATCAACTGGTTCACCTAACAACACTGGTTCATCATCATCATCAGGAACTGGCTCAGGATCATCATCTGCTGCTGGTGCTTCAGGTGCTTCATCAGGTTCTGCTGCTGCTGCTTCTTCAGGTGCCGCATCAGGTTCATCATCTGGTTCAGGATCATCATCTGGTTCAGGATCATCAACTGGTTCATCATCATCATCAGGAACTGGCTCAGGATCATCATCTGCTGCTGGTGCTTCAGGTGCTTCATCAGGTTCTGCTGCTGCTACTTCTTCAGGTGCCGCATCAGGTTCATCATCTGGTTCAGGATCATCATCTGGTTCAAAATCATCAACTGGTTCACCTAACAACACTGGTTCATCATCATCATCAGGAACTGGCTCAGGATCATCATCTGCTGCTGGTGCTTCAGGTGCTTCATCAGGTTCTGCTGCTGCTGCTTCTTCAGGTGCCTCATCAGGTTCATCATCTGGTTCAGGATCATCAACTGGTTCACCTAACAACACTGGTTCATCATCATCATCAGGAACTGGCTCAGGATCATCATCTGCTGCTGGTGCTTCAGGTGCTTCATCAGGTTCATCATCTGGTTCAGGATCATCAACTGGTTCACCTAACAACACTGGTTCATCATCATCATCAGGAACTGGCTCAGGATCATCATCTGCTGCTGCTTCTTCAGGTGCTTCATCAGGTTCTGCTGCTGCTTCTTCAGGTGCCTCATCAGGTTCATCATCTGGTTCAGGATCAACTGGTTCACCTAACAACACTGGTTCATCATCATCATCAGGAACTGGCTCAGGATCATCTGCTGCTGGTGCTTCAGGTGCTTCATCAGGTTCTGCTGCTGCTGCTTCTTCAGGTGCCTCATCAGGTTCATCATCTGGTTCAGGATCATCAACTGGTTCACCTAACAACACTGGTTCATCATCATCATCAGGAACTGGCTCAGGATCATCATCTGCTGCTGGTGCTTCAGGTGCTTCATCAGGTTCTGCTGCTGCTGCTTCTTCAGGTGCCTCATCAGGTTCATCATCTGGTTCAGGATCATCAACTGGTTCACCTAACAACACTGGTTCATCATCATCATCAGGAACTGGCTCAGGATCATCATCTGCTGGTGCTTCAGGTGCTTCATCAGGTTCTGCTGCTGCTGCTTCTTCAGGTGCCTCATCAGGTTCATCATCTGGTTCAGGATCATCAACTGGTTCATCATCATCATCAGGAACTGGCTCAGGATCATCATCTGCTGCTGGTGCTTCAGGTGCTTCATCAGGTTCTGCTGCTGCTGCTTCTTCAGGTGCCTCATCAGGTTCATCATCTGGTTCAGGATCATCAACTGGTTCATCATCATCATCAGGAACTGGCTCAGGATCATCATCTGCTGCTGCTTCTTCAGGTGCTTCATCAGGTTCTGCTGCTGCTGCTTCTTCAGGTGCCTCATCAGGTTCATCATCTGGTTCAGGATCATCAACTGGTTCACCTAACAACACTGGTTCATCATCATCATCAGGAACTGGCTCAGGATCATCATCTGCTGCTGGTGCTTCAGGTGCTTCATCAGGTTCTGCTGCTGCTGCTTCTTCAGGTGCCTCATCAGGTTCATCATCTGGTTCAGGATCATCAACTGGTTCACCTAACAACACTGGTTCATCATCATCAGGAACTGGCTCAGGATCATCATCTGCTGCTGGTGCTTCAGGTGCTTCATCAGGTTCTGCTGCTGCCTTCCAGGTGCCTCATCAGGTTCATCATCTGGTTCAGGATCATCAACTGGTTCACCTAACAACACCATCATCATCATCAGGAACTGGCTCAGGATCATCATCTGCTGCTGGTGCTTCAGGTGCTTCATCAGGTTCTGCTGCTGCTGCTTCTTCAGGTGCCTCATCAGGTTCATCATCTGGTTCAGGATCATCAACTGGTTCACCTAACAACACTGGTTCATCATCATCATCAGGAACTGGCTCAGGATCATCATCTGCTGCTGGTGCTTCAGGTGCTTCATCAGGTTCTGCTGCTGCTGCTTCTTCAGGTGCCTCATCAGGTTCATCATCTGGCTCAGGATCATCATCTGCTGCTGGTGCTTCAGGTGCTTCATCAGGTTCTGCTGCTGCTGCTTCTTCAGGTGCCTCATCAGGTTCATCATCTGGCTCAGGATCATCATCTGCTGCTGGTGCTTTAGGTGCTTCATCAGGTTCTGCTGCTGCTGCTTCTTCAGGTGCCTCATCAGGTTCATCATCTGGTTCAGGATCATCAACTGGTTCATTCATCATCATCATCAGGAACTGGCTCAGGATCATCATCTGCTGCTGGTGCTTCAGGTGCTTCATCAGGTTCTGCTGCTGCTGCTTCTTCAGGTGCCTCATCAGGTTCATCATCTGGTTCAGGATCATCAACTGGTTCACCTAACAACACTGGTTCATCATCATCATCAGGAACTGGCTCAGGATCATCATCTGCTGCTGGTGCTTCAGGTGCCTCATCAGGTTCATCATCTGGTTCAGGATCATCAACTGGTTCACCTAACAACACTGGTTCATCATCATCATCAGGAACTGGCTCAGGATCATCATCTGCTGCTGGTGCTTCAGGTGCTTCATCAGGTTCATCATCTGGTTCAGGATCATCAACTGGTTCACCTAACAACACTGGTTCATCATCATCATCAGGAACTGGCTCAGGATCATCATCTGCTGCTGGTGCTTCAGGTGCTTCATCAGGTTCTGCTGCTGCTGCTTCTTCAGGTGCCTCATCAGGTTCATCATCTGGTTCAGGATCATCAACTGGTTCACCTAACAACACTGGTTCATCATCATCATCAGGAACTGGCTCAGGATCATCTGCTGCTGGTGCTTCAGATGCTCATCAGGTTCTGCTGCTGCTGCTCTTCAGGTGCCCATCAGGTTCATCATCTGGTCAGATCATCAACTGTTCACCTAACAACACTGGTTCATCATCATCAGGAACTGGCTCAGGATCATCTGCTGCTGGTGCTTCAGGTGCTTCATCAGGTTCTGCTGCCGCTCTCTCAGGTGCCCATCAGGTTCATCATCTGGTTCAGGATCATCAACTGGTTCACCCAACACCGGTTCATCATCATCAGGAACTGGCTCAGGATCATCATTCGCTGGTGCTTCAGGTGCTTCATCAGGTTCTGCTGCTGCTTTCAGTTCACTGTGTTCATCATCGGTTCAGGATCATCATCTGTTCAGGATCATCAACTGGTTCACCTAACAACACTGGTTCATCATCATCATCAGGAACTGGCTCAGGATCATCATCTGCTGGTGCTTCAGGTGCTTCATCAGGTTCCTGCTGCTGCTCTTCAGGTGCCCATCAGGTTCATCATCTGTTCAGGATCATCAACTGGTTCACCTAACAACACTGGTTCATCATCATCATCAGGAACTGGCTCCAGGATCATCATCTGCTGCTGGTGCTCAGGTGCTTCATCAGGTCTCGCTGCTGCTGCTTCTTCAGGTGCCCTCACAGGTTCATCATCTGGTTCAGGATCATCAACTGGTTCACCTAACAACACTGGTTCATCATCATCATCAGGAACTGGCTCAGGATCATCATCTGCTGCTGGTGCTTCAGGTGCTTCATCAGGTTCTGCTGCTGCTGCTTCTTCAGGTGCCTCATCAGGTTCATCATCTGGTTCAGGATCATCAACTGGTTCATCATCATCATCAGGAACTGGCTCAGGATCATCATCTGCTGCTGGTGCTTCAGGTGCTTCATCAGGTTCTGCTGCTGCTGCTTCTTCAGGTGCCTCATCAGGTTCATCATCTGGTTCAGGATCATCAACTGGTTCACCTAACAACACTGGTTCATCATCATCATCAGGAACTGGCTCAGGATCATCATCTGCTGCTGCTTCTTCAGGTGCTTCATCAGGTTCATCATCTGGTTCAGGATCGTTTTATAATGAAGCTGGTCAAAAATGTGTTTGTTATGCATAATATCTTGATATCGATGATTGCTAATCTCGTTTCGAATTTAAATAAATTTTATTGCAATTAATTGATTTTTTGAATGATTTTAAATTTATTGTTTTTAAATATGAAATCTTTCAGGTTTCCATTTGTATATGCATAATGAAGCTTGGTAGTAGTTTAGCGGTTGACACTACCTTAACGCTTCAGAATTCGTAGTTGATAGGCATTTGTCAAGAATACTAGATAAATCAACAAAATCGATAATTTACATTAGAATAATTGATCTTTACCAGACTAAGAATTGAAATGATACTGGTGCTTCAAGAAAGATGAAGAAAATTTTCAACCCCGACAAAAGTTTTATTAAAGATACTCGCAAAGTGTATACAATATCTATCAATATAAATTTATAAACATGCAAATTTGAAGAAATTATCACTCGAAGGTAGGTTGGAGTTCTAAGGCTAACTCACGGCGAAGGAAATCGTTATCGAAAGTTTTATTCAACCGGATCTGGGTTGGATTCTCATTTTCAAATTATGGGGACTTAATAGGATAGTCCCTTTTTCGAATTTTAAGTCTTTTGATGTTTCGTGAGTTGGTAGAATTTTATAATTTCTGACAAGAGTTGCTAAGACAAGTTTAGCGTTCATGAGAGCGAATCTCATTCCGATACAAATTCGAGGTCCAGCTCCAAATGGTAAGAATGTAAACGGTTTTGGTGATTGATAGATGAACCTTTCTGGTTTATACTCTTCAATCATTATAATTATCAGGATCATGATGAATCGCGTGAATAGGAATAGTAATTGAGTGTTTTTTGAATGGAAATATTAGTTCCTGGTAACGTGTAATCTTCATGAGCAGTTCGAAAAACAACAGGAGGATCAATTCTTAGAGTTTCATTAATAACAGCATCGAGATAAGTGAGACCACTAAGAACATCATAATTTTGAACATCGGCTGCACTGACTTTTCGAAGAGCTTTTCTTGGACATTTTGATTGAGTGCGAGTCGATAACCCAAGTTAATAGAGTCGAAGTAGTCTCGAATCCTGCAATAAGGAAGACGACTGAAGCTGAAACAATTTCTTCTGAAGTCAATTTAACCTTTGTAGCATCTTTACTGTCATCATCTACTTCTGGTGATTCCGAATCAATTAAGATCTGCAGGAGATCCTCGACTTTGTCTTTTCTATTTTTCCGTTTTTCGATTAAAGCTAAAGTCAAATCTCTCAGGTACTCAATATTTTTGACTGGAAATCCTGAAATTTTTAGAGCTTTTGTTAACCATTCGGGTACACTGAAAATGAATAAGAATCTTATTGGGTCACCAGTAACTACTTTGGTAAAATTTTGCTGTAAAATGCTTTCTTCATCACTGTAGACATCAAGATTAGCGGCGAAACAGCATTTAGCGATTACATCCATGTTATAACGTCCCCAGAACTTTCTTGGATCAAAGGAACTACTTTGAGTCTTGGATAATTTTTCCAGCGCTTTAAGCGCATCTTGAGTACAACCTTTGATGAGGGTGAACATTTTCTTCATCTTTCCCGAAGTAAATGTTGGCGATAACAATGATCGCATTCGTTTCCATTTGGGACCATAAAGTTTTGTTAAGAAATTTTCTTCAACTGGACTTAGATAAATAGCATGAAAACTAGCAGGGAATACACTGAAATCCTTTATGCAAATATCTCGAATCAATTCCGTGTCGCCAATGTTCAAATGGGGTTTTAGTCCATCGAATGTACTGAATTAGATGGGAAAAAAGTTGATTTTTTGAGATAACAGCCAACATACGATAACATTGAAAATCTAATTACCAGAAATTCAACCTGAACAAACATTAATGTGTTGGTGAAAAGGATACATCCAAAATACAATATACAGTCAAGTTCAATTGTTTGGAAACGATAGAAATGATTTGATTAAACTTAAGAATATTAATAAACCAAAAAGAGGAAATTTGCTGATAATCATGTGTTCTTATGCCCGCAACTCATCCACTTGTTGACGTGAATCTAACAAATAATGCGAAGATAACTAGACAAAAGTCACTCACCAACTAATCAGTCAAACAATTAATATTATAATAATTGATAAGTAATGATTTTGAGTAATTAATACAATGTCAAGCTTGATTGCTAGATCGTGAAATCATCCCGATAATTGTTGGCCTTTGCGCTTTTCTATCATTTGATTGTTTTAAGTACAACTTACACTCGTTTATCTACACAATCAGCAAACTCATTTGCTTTCAAGTCTATTGTGTTTTTCTAATATTAACCAGAATACAATTTTTGGTAAGATGAGCGTTAATGGTTGGAGGTGGAGCCAACGGTTATTCAATACACTTATCGATGGTGTCCATTAGTTCAAAGTGTTAAAATTAAGCTGGATTTTGGGTTAATTGTGCGCTCATTTGATTGTCTCAGGCCCTCCGGGCCTTCCTCTGTCGATTTTGACCCTTTTAATGAAGACATAACCTAACCTAATTTAAACAAACACAGGGATAAGTCTGTTGGATAGCTATTAGCTCCACCTCCAACCATTAACGCTCATCTTATCAAATTTTCTAATTACAAAACTATTACTTATTGTATTATACCCTCTTGAAATGTATGATGAAATGAAAGCTCTTTAAGAGTATTACCCAAGAGACAGATAAGGTATATTTTCATATTCTGTCTTTGATTGTATTTGATCGGTTTCTAGTGTCAACACGTCGACAAATTTTTTCCTTCTGTTATAAATACACTATAAAAACGTTTTTGATGGCAAATATTTAAAGTCGCTTTATGAAAGATCAGCCTTGTTTACTATGGTCTAGAGCCTAGATGAATAATGTTCACCTCAGCACAATTAACGCCTACTCAATTCATTCTCTTATTCGTTACAAGTTTCATCACTTTGGTCATTTTGTAAGTATTAATACATTTTCAATCAACTCTATGGATCATAATTACATTCAACTAACTGTGTTTTCCGTGAATTCGTTTTTAGTTATGTCAAACGAAAACACGCATTTTGGGAACGTCAAAATGTCAAAGGTCCTAAGCCGACATTTATATTTGGTAATACATTCGAAAATCTGAAGTATTCATTACCCGAAATGTATCGAAATTATGATGAAAAATATGGAAAAGTTTTCGGGTGAGTTTTATTTTGTAAGAGCTTTTGGTTATTTTACAGATTTTCCTCATTAAATTAATTCATGTTTGTTACCTTTACTAAAAGTACATATGATGGATTACAACCTCATTTGAACATTGGTGACTCAGAAATACTGCGCACCATTTGCGTGAAAGATTTCACAGTTTTCCCTGCGAGTTTTCATACTGTTTATCTCAATCCGGTAGAAGAAAATTTCTTGACTTTTATTTCTGGTCCCAAATGGAAACGAATGCGATCAATGTTATCGCCAACCTTTACTACGGGAAAAATGAAGAAAATGTTCAAGCTCATCAAAAGTTGTGCTCAAGATGCAAAGGCAGCTTTAACGAAATTATGTAAAATCGAGAATGGTGCCTTTGAACCGAAAACGTTCTGGGGACGTTATAATACGGATGTAATCGCTAAGTGTTGTTTCGCTGCTAATCTCGATGTTTACAGTGATGAGAATAGTACTTTACAGCAGAACTTTACTGAATTGTTCACAACAGAGATAAGTAGAATTTTGTTTATTTTCTTGGCACCTGAATGTTTGCAAAACGCGCTTAAAATCTCGTTATTTCGAACTAAAAATCTTGAATATTTGAGAGATTTATCTTTGGCTTTAATCGAGAAACGGAAAACTGAGAAAGAAAAAGTCGAAGATTTCCTTCAAAGCTTAATTGATTCAGAATCATCAGAAGTCGACAACACTAAGATAGATACAGAAAAAGTAAAATTGACCTCAGAAGAGATCGTTTCATCTTCACTCGTTTTCCTTATCGCAGGATTCGAGACTACTTCGACTCTATTAACTTGGGCTTGTTATCGGCTCTCACTCAATCCCAATATTCAAGAAAAACTATTCAATGAAGTCAGTAAAGCCGACATACAAGATTATGATGTTCTTAGTGGTCTTACTTATCTCGATGCTGTAATTAATGAGAGTTTAAGAATTGATCCTCCAATCATTGTTTTCCAACGAACTGCTCATGAAGACTACACATTACCAGGAACTAATATTTTCATCCCAAAACATACTCGAATTACTATCCCTGTTTATGCGATTCATCATGATCCAGATAATTACAGTGATCCTGAAGAATTTAAGCCAGAACGATTTATCAACGAATCACCGAAACCCTTCACATTCTTACCATTTGGAGCTGGACCTCGAATTTGTATTGGAATGAGATTCGCTCTTATCAACGCCAAACTTTCCTTGGCAACTCTAGTTCGAAATTACAAAATTCTACCAACTCGTGAAACCCCAACCCCAATGAGCCTCAACTATGACAAAGGATCGCTGGTTCTAATGGCACAGCAATTAAAATTAAAAATTGAGCCCCGATCTTGTTAAATTTCTCTCTGATCAAAAAATAGACATTTTATTGTAATTGAATCAAACTACATAATTAATGAACTAATCTAATCTCATCTACATGTTGATCAGATTATGTGATCAATTAATTGATTTAATTAATGATTTAAATCGTTCATTTTGAACCTTGGTATCCCTGTAACAATCGAATGAATAATACATGTAAATGGTCAACCTTATTAACCGGAATATTCTTAATTGATTATCACTTTCAACTCTGATTCGATTGTCTCAGTCTCGTAAGACTTTTTTAGCTCAATTTTCATTGTTAATACTATTTTAACTTGTGATATTAGCGATAATATTGTTTTCAAAATAACTCGACACTTTTGGTTGCGACATTGAAAGACCTTCCGACGAAATTATAAATTGGAAAAATTTGTGAATCTGCTATGAGCTCACCAAATAGAATCAATAAATCAATAATATTTTACAATATTTTTCCTAAAAGTCTGGCGATATGAGCTTATTAAAAATCAGATCAGTATATCGAGTATCAAAGGCCAAAGTTGAACTCAGTGGGATGTACATCTGAATCTTTTAGAGTTCGCTTTTGATTGTTACTAAAAACATTTTCTCCTCTGTCATGAAACAATTTCTTTTTCAAAATCTCATTCAATTAATCTCTTTTAGCGCTTTTTTCTATTTTTCTCTTTCTTTGGTATTTTCTACTCTCAGCTTATCACGCAGTCATTTGCTCTTCTCGTGTTACCATTTCTTTTTTTTTCATTCTTTGTTTACTCATTCAATCTTTGGTTCTTTCTTCTCTACGGTTTACAATTATTTCATCATCTTTTTTATCCATGATTTGTGTGTAATATTAATCATTCGAAGCTCAATTCTTTCCTTTCGTAACATTACTGCACATCAGTAATCAATTAGAAAGGTGAAATGTTGGAATCTTTAATCGCCCAATGGATCTTGTTGATCTTAACTGCTTCCATCAGCTGGTTTCTCTTGTAAGTAGTAACCTGAATTTTCACTAAACTGATTTTCTGTTGATTCATTTTATTTTTCTGTTTCCTTTTTTTCTAAAATAATAATAAACACTCAGCTTTGCTCGATCAAAACATACATACTGGACACGCCAAGGAATCAAAGGTCCCAAACCTACATTTGTGATTGGAAACACATTCTCTGGTTTGGATAAGTCGGTTGTTGAGATTCTCACAAGCAGATACAATAAATATGGAAAAGTTTATGGGTAAATATCAATTCTTTTCTCTTTATATCCTGTGTCATAGAGCAAAAAGATTGTCGAGTTTGAACAGAATCATGTTCATCTTGTTCAATTCTCAAGCTATTGCTTTGGTTTCAATTTCTTCAATAGATTCAATCACTGCTCTCTTGTTTTCTTTGTTCATTGTAGTAAATTCAGTTTCAAGGTTTTCTATCAAGACTTGAGTTACTTCTTGTTTACTTTTTATCTCTCCTCTGGTTCTTGTCTGGTTTCAAGGTTTATCTCTTTTGGACTAGTTCTTAAATAGTCATTCAAAATGATTCATTTGTTTATCAAAGAAAATTTAATGATTACTCTTATTTACGTATAAAATCAATGTGAACAATCAGATGTATGATTCCCAGTTAATAAGATCTTGATAACCTGGCATTCCAACCTTAGCACCAGCGACTTTACTTCCAAATGCAATTGCATCTTCAGGCTTTGATTTTCTGATGAATATGTCAAAAATTGTCGCAGCAACAAAAGTATCTCCAGCACCACAAGTATCAACGACTCCTTTTTTGGGTGGAAAAATGACCGTTGACCCAATCGAACCAATGATTTTACCTTGAGAAACTTTAGCGACTCTTGATCCTTGGTCACCCCAAACGAATATAACATGGGCATCGAACTTGATCAACTTACAGGTCTCCCGAATAGTCTCGTCAAGATCTTTCCAACCTCTCATTCGGCCAAATTCACGTTCAATGAAATAGTAATCAATCTGTTCATTGAATACTTGAGACAATCCATCTCTATCTTGTTCCAATTCAACAGAGATTATCGGTTTATCTGTTGCTGTCTGTTGATTAGATCTAACAAAACGAACCATATCGATTATCCCTTTAATATTATTACGACTCTCGACGTGAATCCAATCGTAATTAACCAAATCATAGTGAACATATTGTTCTAATGACATGTCAGGGTAGTGTCTAGAATAATGATAGAGACAATTAAATCAATTTTCATAACTTATTCGCAAAGAAACTTACTCAGTAAAATGGGTGTAAGTTCTTGAACCATTGAGAGAATTGATGACGACTCCAGTCACTGGTGTTTTCAATGTAGGATCGATGAATGAACGATCATAACGAATATTTTCTCGATCAAAAATTTCACGAAGAAACCTTTACAAACAAAAGGAACAAAAGAAAATGAAAGAAAAAAGAATCAAAATTAATCGTCACAATTAGAATCTGAATCTAAATGTATACCCACTTTGAGGCTAAATCTTCACTCAGGGTACCCAAAAGTTCAATCTCGATTTCGGGTAATTGTTCAGTGGTACAATTATTCTTATGCCAAGTTCGTAATTTTGAAAAAGCAACCGAATTGTTTGATCCATTTCCACCTAAATTCCACCTAAAATCATAACACCTAATCACATTTAGAAAGAAACATGATTAAGATTAGTTTAAATTCATTAACTACTATCAAGTTACTTACGGAAGTCCATAGTCCTCTTCAGGATAACCTTCTACCACGAATAAAGCATCACAACAAATTAAACCACTAAAAGCTATACGTTTCTTAATTTTATCCATTTTCCAATACAAAGTTGACTTTTAATTGTTTTTCATCAATTTTACAATTCTAACTGACTTAGGATCTATCATAATATTAACTAATCTTAATAAATTATCTCAAGTGTCTCATCCAATGATATTTAAGTAAGTACAAGATTAACTTGAAAGAGACAGAGAGATTGTTTGTTTTCTTGAATCTTAGTGATTAAGGAAACCCCATGAGGGATTGATAATCAACAAAGATTATGTATCTTATAAACAACTAAATTGACAATTTATCATCAAAACAATATGATAATTACATTAATAAAATCAGTAATGTCAGGCAAGGGTAGATATTGATAACTTTTGATCGTCAGTAAATGAGAAATTATCAAGCAAATATTGAGATAAATGTTAAATTGTGTAGATTATTTTGAGTCTTGTTTCCATATGAGATTAAGTTAATGAGATTGATGAGAAAATAGATGAAAAAATTGATAATTTTTTGTTGATCTCTGGACAATCAACTTGATTGGGATAAGTTTTAGTATTAATTAAGGGTCGAAATTCTAGCGAAATGATGATAACTATTAATAATATTAATAAATACGAATTTGTTTCTTTTTTTATCACTTTACCGATAGTGTCTACGATGGCCTACAACCTCATCTTGTGGTCGGCGATCCGGAACTTCTTCGTCATATTTGTGTTAAAGATTTCCATATTTTCCCTCAAAGCTTCCGATTCGCTTCTCTCCATCCGATCGAGGAAAGTTTTCTAATCAACGTTTGTGGTGACAAATGGAAACGAATACGATCCCTGTTGACACCTACATTTTCTTCCGGCAAACTAAAGAAAATGTTCTCATTGATGAAAGTTTGTGTCCAAGATGCTAAGTCTCAGTTAACATTGATGACCACTTCTAAGGAAGATGATTCCGTCGGGATGGAAGCTCAATTTGATCCGAAATACTTTTGGGGACGATATAATATGGACGTTATTGCAAAGTGTTGCTTTGCTACGAGTTTGAACGTTTACGATAACTCAGATGATATTTTTCTCCGGAATTTCACTGAATTTTTCCAAGGTAATCCTTTCAAGTTGCTGAGTTTCGCTGTTGCTCCAGGCTGGATTCTTAAAGCGTTAAAGTTGAGCTTTTTCCCGACCAAGAATCTTGAATTTTTGAGAGATCTGACATTAGCCTTGATTGAGAAGCGTAAAAACAAAGATAATAAAGCCGATGATTTCTTACAATTACTTCTCGATCTGGAAAGTGAAAACGAACCTGACAAAGAAAGTGAATCGTCGACAGGAAAAAAGTCACAATTAACTTCCGATGAGATTGTTGGAGCATCAATCATTTTCCTTGTTGCCGGTTACGAGACAACATCAACTCTACTAACTTGGGCTTGTTATCGACTTGCTACTAATCCAGAGATTCAAGAGAAACTTTTCCAAGAAGTTTCCAATTCTGATATTTTCGATTATGAAGTTTTAAATTCTCTTCCTTACCTTGATGCTGTATTATCGGAAACCCTTCGAATAGATTCACCAATCATCATGTTCCAAAGACATGCTCATGCAGATTATATTTTACCTGGAACAAGCGTTAAGATTGAAAAAGGAACTCCGGTTACCATTCCTATTTATGCCATTCATCATGATCCCGAACATTATCCTGAACCCGAAATTTACGATCCAAATCGATTTCTTAATGGATCAGTTAAGCCTTTTACCTTTTGTCCCTTTGGAGCTGGTCCTCGAATCTGTATTGGAATGAGATTCGCTCTAATTAATGCAAAACTTTCCTTAGCAGTTTTAATCCGTAATTTTTGTCTTTTCACAACTGATGCAACTCCAGTGGACTTTAAATACGGCAAAGCAACAATCATATTAACAGCAGAAGATTTGAAATTAGGCCTTAAACCAAGAACGAGCACTTGATATCTTAACCCAAAATCGATAACCTTTCTCGCCTTGTCTTACCTAAAGATTCAAAATCTTACCTTCATTTAATCAGCTCATCTTTACTCATCTTTGGATCAACTTTAGCAACTCAATTTGCTCAAATGATGAAGTTCAACTTTTCTTAATCTACACAACCAATTTACTATTAATAAGTTATAAAGTAAATAACAATCTTCTATTGTAATAAAATCTTTTTCACATTTTCTTTAAGATACCTTTACTCATTAACAATTGATCTAAGATTAAGATTACATCATTAAATGTAGATGATTGTTAACCTTCATATTTTTGATTAATTTTGATTAATATTAATAGCCAAGCGAAGCCTTTTCACTGATAGTTTGATGATTGTATTTCATATTGATTGTTTATCATCAAACCAAAGATAATTGCAATAGTTTATTTTGAAAACCCTTCAACTAAATTATCTTATATTAATAATTACATAACTAATAGTTATTAACTATTAATATTATTATATCCTCTTGACTTTGTTGTAAAATAATAGCTGATAAAGAGTGAGATACAGCTACAAGAAATTATCACCATTCACTTAGATCTTGTGATTTTAATTGACTGATTTCCAATGTGAGCGATTTGACACATTGATAACTATTAATATTATAAATACGTGTACATTGTAATAACTATTTTCTTGCTCATAATAAGTTAATTAGCTGAAATAATTTTGTAAAAGGCGAATAAAAAATTCTAAAAGAATAATGTCCACCACAACACCATTAACACCTAATCAATTGATTTTCTTGTTTATCACAAGTTTGATTGGTTTGGTTGTTTTGTAAGTATTGATAGATTTTGAAACAGCTCCTTGGACTATAATCGAATTTGTTATTTTCCTTGAATTTAGCTATGTTAAACGAAAACATTCATTTTGGGAACGTCAAAATGTCAAAGGTCCAAAGCCGATATTTATAGTTGGAAACATATTCGAAAATATGAAAACTTCATTACCATAATTGTACAGTAAGTACTACAAAAAATATGGAAAAGTTTTCGGGTGAGTTTTACTCTTTTGAGTTTAATCTATTTGTTATTTTACAATTATTCTCAATTAAATCTACTTGTTTTCTCTCGCTTACTGAAAAGCACTTATTATGGACTACAGCACAATTTGCATATCGGGGACTCGGAATTACTTCGGAACATTTGTGTAAAAGATTTCAACGTTTTCCAGTCTGGATTTCAATCTGTTTACGTTCATCCAATTGAAGAAAATTCTCTGATAAATCTAATTGGTCCGAAATGGAAACGAATGAGGTCTATGTTGTCGCCAACCTTTACTTCAGGAAAGATGAAGAAAATGTTCAAAATCATCAAAAGTTGTACTCAAGATGCTCAAATAGCTTTAACTAAATTATCCAAGAAAGATAATGGTGCCTTTGAACCGAAAACGTTCTGGGGACGTTATAATACGGATGTAATCGCTAAGTGTTGTTTCGCCGCTAATCTCGATGTTTACAGTGATGAGGCGAGTACTTTGCAGCAGAACTTCAATTCATTGTTTAATGCGAGTCTACACCGAGTGTTATTTACTCTTTTTGCGCCTGGATGGTTAACTAGAGCAGTTAAAGTCTCAATTATTCCGGGTAAAAATCTTGAATATTTGAGAGATTTATCTTTGGCTTTAATCGAGAAACGTAAAACTGAGAAAGAAAAAGTCGAAGATTTTCTTCAGAGCTTAATTGATTCAGAATCAGCCGAAGTTGACAATACTGAGAACGATACAAAAAAAGTAAGATTGAACGCAGAGGAAATTGTTGCATCTTCGGTTAGCTTCCTTATTGCAGGATTTGAGACTACTTCGACTCTATTAACTTGGGCTTGTTATCGACTCACACTCAATCCCAATATTCAAGAAAAGCTCTTCGGAGAAGTCATAAAAGCTGACATACAGGATTATGATGTTATAAATAGTCTCCCTTATCTCGATGCTGTTATAAATGAAACTCTACGAATCGATCCTCCTCTGCTCGCTTTTCAAAGAGCTGCTCACAAAAATTACACGTTACCAGGAACAAAGATTTTCATCCCAAAGCATACACAAATTACTATTCCTATTTATGCGATTCATCATGATCCAGATAACTACAGTGATCCCGAAGAATATAAGCCAGAACGATTTATCGACGAATCACCGAAACCCTTCACATTCTTACCATTTGGAGCCGGACCTCGAATTTGTATTGGAATGAGATTCGCTCTCATAAACGCTAAACTTGCCCTAGCAACTCTAGTTCGAAATTACAAAATTCTACCAACTCGAGAAACCCCAACCCCAAAGAGCCTCAACTATGCCAAGGGAGCCTTTATGCTCAGTGCCCAGAGTTTCAAGGTGAAAATTGAGCCTCGGTCTCTTTAAAATGGTCGCATGCCCATTTATTTTTCCTTAAAAAATCAGCCAACTCTTTGAATCATTTTGAATATTTGTATTTAGTAAATCTATGGAATAAATATTGATACCAAATTCCTTTTTTTGCCCATAAACCTTTAGTTAGATTCTTCGGACTTCATGTTTCTGTTCATGAACCAAATAAATAATCGAATGAATAATCAATCAATAAAATTGTCTGATCTCATTAATCGGAAATTTCTTAATTGCATTGGTGAAGCAGTGACGGATTATTTGAAGAGAGAGAGAAACAGTTTCTACTCTGGTTTGATTTTCTGAATCATTCGTCTGCTTACCAAATATTAGAATCATAAAAATGACAAGATATTAGCAATACTTTGCAATAATCAATAACAGTTTACAATATTTTTCTGAAAAGTCTCAAGATATGCGAGTGAAAAATCAGATCATTAGTATGTTGAGTATGATTGTCATCATGAAACTAAAGATTCATCGGTTCAACGGATGTTGATCATTAATTGAATTCCTAACAGTTTGGATAAGGGGAATTTTGTTTTATATCTCAATCTAATCATTGATAAATTCGCACTTGATTACATGTAAGTCTAATATTAGATCAAAGATCAGCTCTTCAAAAAGATCTGAGTTCTCAAGCTCTTGTTAACCATGAACTCAGTTCATGATCACAGTAATTAAAACTTCATATTTCTGATTGATTCTGATAATGGAGTACAAGTTGTACCTAAATTAAGTACTCAATTGTTTACTATTTAATCAACAAACCCATTGACTTTACAAAAGGAGATTTAATAACACATATAAAATCAACTTAATGATTTTAAGTTAATCCAGTTTATATGTAATTCTTACATGTATTAAAAGTACATTGATTTCAGTGGGATAACTTTTAGTGCTGAATAATAATTGTTTCTGGTTAATTTTGAACTAATTGAAGGTATTGAAGTTCAATATTGTTAATTAGTGATCTTTACAAATAATGTTCATCACAACTCAATTAACACCTAATCAATTGATTCTCTTGTGTATCACAAGTCTCATTACTTTGGTCATTTTGTAAGTAGATTTTTAATCTTTACATGTTAATCAAGTCTAATTGTTTTCGTTTTTCTAAATTCAGTTATGTCAAACGAAAACATTCATTTTGGGAACGTCGAAATGTCAAAGGTCCAAAGCCGATGTTTATATTTGGAAATATATTCGACAATTTGAGATCAGCAGTGCCCGAAATGCATCGTAATTACTACTCTAAATATGGAAAAATTTTTGGGTAAATTTTCTCTACTAATTGAAGTTTTTTCGAATCGATTGATCTTTATTATTATCTATTATTAATTAGTACTTATGATGGATTGCAACCTCATCTGAATATTGGTGACTCAGAAATGATTCGAACGATTTGTATTAAAGATTTCAACGTTTTCCCTTCTGGGTTTCATAGCATTTACAATGATGAGATTCAAAGTAAATTTCTCACTGTTCTTTTTGGTCCTGAATGGAAACGACTTCGATCAATGTTATCACCAACATTTACTTCGGGAAAGATGAAGAAAATGTTCAAAATCATCAAAAGTTGTACTCAAGATGCTCAAATAGCTTTAACTAAATTATCCAAGAAAGATAATGGTGCCTTTGAACCGAAAACGTTCTGGGGACGTTATAATACGGATGTAATCGCTAAGTGTTGTTTCGCCGCTAATCTCGATGTTTATAGTGATGAGGCGAGTACTTTACAACGAGTCTTTCACGAACTATTTGATGCACAATTGGCAAGAATCCTGTTCATTTTTTTGGCACCTGAATGGTTAACTAAAGCAGCTCGAATCGCAAATGTTCCTACTAAAAATCTTGAATATCTAAGAGATTTGACTTTGGCCTTGATTGAGAAACGGAAGAATGAAAAAGAAAAAGTTGAGGATTTCCTGCAGATCTTAATTGATTCGGGATCATCAGAAGACAATAATAATGGTAAAGATGATTCGAAAGTAAAATTTACTCCAGAGGAGATAGTTTCATCTTCGGTGATCTTCCTTTTGGCTGGGTTTGAGACTACTTCGACTCTATTAACTTGGGCTTGTTATCGGCTCGCACTCAATCCTAATATTCAAGAAAAACTATTCAATGAAGTCAGTAAAGCCGACATACAAGATTATGATGTTCTTAGTGGTCTTACTTATCTCGATGCTGTAATTAATGAGAGTTTAAGAATTGATCCTCCAATCATTATTTTCCAACGAACTGCTCATGAAGACTACACATTACCCGGAACTAATATTTTCATCCCAAAACACACGCGAGTTACTATCCCTGTTTACGCGATTCATCATGATCCAGATAATTACAGTGATCCTGAAGAATTTAAGCCAGAACGATTTATCAACGAATCACCGAAACCCTTCACATTCTTACCATTTGGAGCTGGACCTCGAATTTGTATTGGAATGAGATTCGCTCTTATTAACGCCAAACTTTCCTTGGCAACTCTAGTTCAAAATTACAAAATTCTACCAACTCGAGAAACCCCAACCCCAAAGAGCCTCAGCCATGCCAAAGGATCGTTGGTTTTAAGTACAAAAAGTTTAAAGCTAAAAATTGAGCCTCGTTGATCAACAAACAAATCAACGATTAACAATTAATGTTTTAATATCTTGCTTTCATTACAATTGTGAATAATTACAGTTCGTCTTCCATTGGACAAAAATTAACACATTTATTAGCTTGTTCAAAATTGGTTACGTTTCCTTTTTTTTCCTCTAGAAAATTTTGAGTTGAAATTGGTTCACGAACATTGATTTTGAACACAACGGTTTTGATTGAATTTGTTTTTAATATATTTATGTTCAGTTAAATGATTCAAAATACAAGAAGAAGTTGAAATTACTCAATATATTTGAGAATCAAGATTGAATTTGAGCGGGTTCATTTTGTTGAGTTGCTTTGATTGTTTGAATCTTTAGATTTTAGCACCAGTGGATTTGAAATTCGGAAAATACTTGATAACATTGAGGCTAAATTATTGAAAAGTTCAGCAGATACTCCCCTTGGAACGATAAATTGAATTGTCTTATTTTCATAGCTGGTCGGTGAAAAAGAGGCCATTTCAATCATAAATCCTTTGATACATTTGAGAACTAGTTCAGCTCGTTTTAAGCACCAATTCAATGTTATATCATCGGAAAGTTCATGAATCAGTAGAAGAGGTAATGATATGGTATTAATATCATTCCAATGTGCAACCTTTAAGATATTACGAAGTCCTAATATAACTGAATGCCGGGAACTAACATCATTAGAATAAATTGATTCATCAATAACCAAATGAAAGACAACATGTACTTGAGATAAATTTGAATGTCGAGTCATATAAAAATCTCCTGGTTTGATTGGTGACATTTCGATGGATTTTTTATTCGCATCAAATTTACTGGCCTTCAATTTAATTGAGCTTAATTGTTCTTCTATGTTTGGAAAATGAAAATCCGTTGATTGTAAACATTTTTCACTAAATTCTGAGAAAATGGAACAAAAATATGAATCAATAATAGAAATCGAAATGAAAAGAGATCCAAATAATATTCAACTTGCATGAAAATTTACCTTTTTTGATTCCAGTGTAACAATTGATTCTATTATCGACAAGTAAAATGAGCCCAGAGAGAGAATTGGAATAAAGTGACATCGCAGTTTGAATTCGCAATGGATTCGGCTTTAAAACTAAGCTATAAGAAGAAATGAAAAAGAAAATTAAATGGAGAATTGATTTTACGTTCATTTGATAGAATGAAATTAGACAATTACCTGGAACTTGAATCACATAGATCTAGAATCGGCATTGACCTTAATCGTAAATTATGAGAAGATTTTAGTTGAGAACTTAAATTGATTGTGAAACTTTCTTCCATATCTGCTAATCCAACCTCTTCGATGTCTGACCATTCGCCATTGATTAGAGATGATTTATTTCGTTCATTTATTTCATCAACCAAATTTTCTCGAGCTTGTTGACTGACAAAATCTTCGTAAATTTTACAAATCCAATCATGAAACTCTTTCTTTTGAGCTGATTGTAGATCATAAATTGTTTGATCCCATCGGGTTTTTAGAGCTTCTACCTTATTGAAATATCGTAACGAGAGTCGATTAACATCCTCATCTGTAGTTCCCAATTGATCCATTTGCTTGAGTAGTTTATCCGTTTCATCAGCTTGTTCCTCACAGACAGAACTTAATTCATCAATTTTACGAGAGACCAAATCCTGAACGGCGACTCGATAGGAATGATCAAGGAAGATTATTGGTTCAGTTAAGAATCCAGAATGAATTAGACGATGATATTTCTCGTAAAACTGGCAATCCTCATCCGAAGATGATTTATTCAACACCTTTGATGATTTACTTTTGTTCAATAGTAATTTATCAAAATTGAGTAAATGTTCACTTCGTTCTTGAATATTTTCATCTTTGATGTATCTCTCTTGAGCTTCAATGAATCCATTTAGTTCAAATTTTTCCTCTTCCTTCGACCCATTGTCGCAATTGTTTCAATAAAATATCCTCTAAATTGGGTGGAATATCATATTTATAGAAAATGTAATAAGCCAATTCTGATACAGTAACACAAGATGCCAATGGTATTGTTAGCTGATGATTAATATCAATTCCATAGCGATCATATTTAAAGTTGAATGTTTTTTTCACTCCATGTTCCATGATAGTGACAATGGTGAATCAATGAAAATGTAATTGTTGATGATGATAATGATGGTGATTGGGTTGATGATTGTGGGCAAAAAAAGTTTATAAAGAAACAATGAGAATTGGTTGATTATTGGATTAGTTTTCTTTGGATTTTTCTTCTTCTTCTAGTAAACGTTGAGGAGAAATCGGATCATGAATTGATGATGAGATTTTCAACCATTGTAAGGCCTGAACATGAACATCATTTGATGAAGGCTTTGAATCCCAATTCCAGGCTCGTATTTTGTCAAAAGTACCAATAGGTTTAAGTTTAATTGTATCAAGTGATCCAAAGGTTTTCTCGCAAACAACACCAATTGTATCTGAATCTAAAGGTAAATCAATACCATCCAAAGGTTTACCTCGGAAAGATGCTGAATATTTTGATGGACCAGTTTCACTTATAGTTGGCTTAAAATAACTGGTAACCTTTGCTTGACCAGTGTAATTTATGGTACAAGGGATTAATTCACACTCAACAGGATTTAAACTGTTGGTATCACATGAGATGGATAGAGAAGACATCAAGATGATAAAAAAACAATAGAAAAAAAAAGATTTGATAAAAAACAAAATGGATAAAGAGTAGAATCAATTTCCCGTGATGAGTCAACACACATTCAGTCAAAAGAATTGACAAAAACAACAACAAGATCACAAATCAACAAATTAACTACAAACTACGATGGTTAATCTACTATTTAGATTAATAAATGAAACAAATTAACAGGAAAAGAATAGAAATACAGGAAGAAAGAGAGAGAGAGAGAAAATAAAGAGAAAAGGAATAACCCAAAGTAAGAGAGAGAGAAAAATAGAAAAGGAAAAGGAAAGAAAAAAGAAAGAGAACATTTTTTTCTCTTTCTCCGTCTGAACATATGTTCGCTTGAAAACAATTGTAGGTTTAGTCTTCTCATAGTGAAAGGTGATAGTTTTGATTGGAAACAAATGTGATCTGTCAATTTAAATTAATTGTGATTAATTAGCTACTCCAATCATGGGGAATGTTGATAATTTTGCTTGGATAACTAGATTACTATTCAATCTTTATGGTTATTCAACTATCCTCTTACCCGTTGGAATCATTGTCTATATGGTTAAACATAAACATTGTCTTCCATCATGTAAGTTGATTAATTGTCATTAATTGTCTCTTTGTTTCTCTCTTGTTATCACTATAATTAATCACATCTTCATCATAATTAATTTATTTCATTGTATTTACTTACTGTTTCCTTTTTTTTTCTTGTTGATTTACAGTTTCCAACTTGACACTGATTAGGTTAATTGTTTATGGTAAAGATGTAAATTCTGTTACTGGTGGTGGAGGTGGTGGAGATATTGAACAATCTAGATCACTATTAATCAATGAGAAGAAAGAATTTGATGATAAACCATTGATTGATTCTGATGGAAGTGTTGATGGTACCGGTGGTATTGGTGGACAAGCAAATAGAAGAGAGAAAATAATTCTATTCTTTACCTGTTTCTTTGGTTTACATTGTTCTTACCTGATTTGGGGAGTTTACCAAGAGAAAATAATGACAACTGAGTATTTACTTTCAATCAATTCAACCCAATTTTTGAAAAAAATCAACGGTTCGTTTATCAACATCATTCTATTGTTACAATCGATGTCTTTTTCTTTCGTATCATCACTTTTATCCTCTTCTTTTATCACTTCACTGAAAATCTAATCTAATCTTCTAATTTTGTTTTGATTTTTTTTTATCTTCTTCTTCTTTCTCTCATTTAGATGCTCACTTTCCAAGTTTAAAAGGTGATAAAATTAAATTCCACGATTCACAATTCCTTGTATTAACTGGTCGCATTTTCGCACTCGCTTTTTCATCGATCGCTTTCATCTACACTCAATCGAGAAAATCAAACACCAACCAAAGTGGCTCATCGAAACGTTTTGTTATCGCTCCGATTCACGAATTTTTCTATTGCTCATTATCCAACATTCTAAGTTCTTGGTGCCAATACGAGGCATTGAAATACGTTAATTTCCCTACCCAGGTAACTCTCAGAATAGTAGAAAATCATAATCATGATCACTAATGTTGTTATTCATTTTATTCCCATAGGTTTTATCCAAAGCTTGTAAAATTCCGTCTGTCATGTTGATGTCAAGATTGGTTTCCAATAAGAAATATGATCTATTTGAATACCTTGTTTCACTTTTTATCTCATTTGGAATGATTATATTTCTCCATGGTAATCATAATGTTCATCCATCTTCACCATCAACAAAAGAATCAGATAATTCAACTGATTCCCAATCAATCAATACTTCAGCCAAATTAGCCAATGGACTAATTGTTCTTGCCTTATATTTATTGTTCGATTCATTTACCTCTAATTGGGAAGAGAATATTTTCCATAAATATCGTATATCAAGTTGGCAAATGATGGTTACCCTTAATCTTTGCTCCATCATCTTAACTTTAACCTCTCTCACCGAACAAGGTAATTTGGTACCCGCTTTAATTACAATTACAAGTTGTAATCAATTATTTCGTGATGTCCTTTACATGGCATTTTCTTCAACTATTGGACAATTTTTCGTTTTCTACACAATCTCCAATTTCGGTGCACTTATTTTCACAATGATTATGACACTCAGGCAAATATTTGCCATTCTACTCTCTTTCATCATCTATCATCATTCCATATCAATAGAATCCATTCTAGGGATTACAATTGTTTTCACTGCAATCATTTCTTTGAGGTTTGTCAAGATTAACAAGATTAAAAAATGACCCCAGATACTATAAAGACAATAAGAAAACAATGCAATCAACTGATCATCATCACCATTATTAACAAATTGAACAAAGTTATTTATGTATTGTTGTTGTTTTTTTTTCACAAGGCTAATCAATGTAAAATAATAAAAAGCAATTACTAATTAAGTCGTTAATTTGTCGGTTGGATAATCCTAATTGAGAACCTTTGTTTGGTTTTGTTGAAGAATCCCAATCACATTTTGAGTTGTAGTAAACAGAATGGAAAGCAAAAAGAATAAGGTAATTATCAAACTCGTTAAAATTAACAGATTAATTAATGGGAAAAAGGGGGTGATACATTTAAAGATTAAATAATCATCGCTAATAATAATTTGTTTTAATCTTTTGAATGGATTAACTCACTTGATGGATTTTTTTTCTTTATCACTTTTTTTTTCATTTGTTTCTTTTTTGTTGACAGGAAAATGATTCAGTTTTGCCAAGAAATTCACTCGGTTTACCGACTAATGTTTACCATTGTCAAGAGAATGAAAAACCTGAGAATATTATTATCGAACATGGTTACGATTTAAAGGATAAAGTTGGTGCCGGTGCTTTTGCCTCGGTTTTCAAGGCAAGGCGAATCGCCGATGATCAGATGGTGGCTTGTAAGGTTATTGAAATAAAGCGTAAACGAAAGGAGAGATTAACCGATCTCAAGAATGAGCTCTATGTATTGGAGAAAGTTGAACATCCCAATATTGTCAAATTGTATGAACACTTTGTCATTGATGATAAGGTTTATATTTTCATGGAATTCGCCTCGGGTGGAACTTTATCTGAATATGTACGGAAAAAAGGTCCAGTTAAGGAAAAACGGGCTCGTCGTTGGTTTCTAGAGATTGCCAGTGCCATTCAACATTTACATCGACTTAGTATATCTCATCGTGATCTTAAATTGGGTAATATTTTACTTGATGCAGATAAGAAGGCCAAAGTTACTGATTTTGGTTTAAGTAGAATTAGCTATCGACCAACCAAAGGTGTACTTTATTGTACCTCTTGTTGTGGAACTGAACCTTATATGGCCCCGGAAATTTTGAAGAAAAGATCAGATGGAACCAGACTTTATGATCCAATGGTTTCAGATGTTTGGGCTTTGGGTGTTTGTTTGTATGCAATGGTTAACAAAGCTTATCCATTCAATCCGGAAGATAAAGAGTTGATGATCTCAAATCAATTACATCGGAAATGGAAGTTTGTAAGAAAACAAAAAAATAGATTGACCAATGAAGTTAAAGATTTAGTTCGTCACATGTTGGAGCCAAATCCAAGGAAAAGAATCACCTTATTGGGAATAATGGGCCATCCATGGTTAAAAGAAGGTAATCTCAGTAAACCATTCGATGCTTCAAGTTCTAAATCGACCAGTCCAACTCCAACGATAAAACCAAAAGAACCAAACAAAAGTTAATAATTTAGTTCAATGATAAGAAATAAAAAAGAGAAGACGCATTTTTCTCTCACGGAATTCCGAATGATTAGTAACGATCATAATTATTTTGTCGAAGGCCTTTAGTAGACCAACTAGAGGAAAAAGAGGAAAAGTTGAAAGGATAAAGTTGAGTTGACAGTTATTTTTGCGACAATATTTTAATGGAGATGATACATGATCTCAACATGAATCAATTTCTTTGGGAAGATGAACGAAAACCAATCCTTTCCTGTGTTGTTAATGTAGTAGTTTTAGTAGTCGATGCATCAATTGTGACACAAGAGGTGGTTTTACTTTTCTCGTCAGAGTCTTTCTCCCATTTTTCAAATTCACTGACATCATCCATTCGCATTTCCAATCGAGTAGGATTACGACGAAACATTTTGGATTCACCTTTAGAACAACGAAAAAAATATAATAAAATCAAAACAAAACAATCAGTCAATTAAAAAAATAAACACAAAACCCTCAACAGGTTATGATCTCTTAAAGGTAAACCATAAAAACAACAACACATGGTAACTTTTGCAATAACCAAAAGACCAATAATGATAATTATTAAATCATAAAAACAAGCCGAAAAATAAACAAGAAAGTTAACAAATTAATCAGCAAACAAATAGAAATAACAATTAAATAATTACTAGAGACAATTTTAACCATTGAGAGAGAGAGAGAAAAATTTTGAAAATATGAAAAACTGTTAACACTTCAATCAGTGAATTTTAAAAATCATTTTCTCGCATCTCAAATAACTGAAGTAATTAAATTAAAAGCATCAAAAATTTAATAATTACCCGTTAAATAGTTTCCAAAGGCGATAATTAACAACGTTAATTAACAGAAATTTAATTTAATTAAAAGAAGGCAGAAAAGTGAAAACAAAGGAAAAGTTAAAATCAGAAGAGAAAACCAGATGAGAATAAAAAGAAAGAGAAAATGAAAGAGCCAAATGAAGAAGAAAAATTTATTCTATTCTATTTACTTGCTGAATTCGCCGGCAGATGTCACGAAAGAACATTTTCGAAAATGTTCTTTAACATCTTCTGTTGGGAGAAACTTATGATCAGTTAATTGTTTTATCTTCGTATCTTCATGTAAGTTTAATTATCTTTGAACTAAAACTAAGTTTTAGTTATTGATTTTGTTATTTGTTTTAATCCATTGACCCAGTTTACTTATTCATTGTTACATAATTGATCTTGACTATCATCTCACCACCATGAATATATTTGAAAATCCAATAATCAGTGAGCAACAATTGAATAGTTTCGTCAAGGATATTGTTAAGGCTAATAAAGGGGTACCACCGCCATCACCGCCACTGCCACTGCCACCGCCCCAACCCCAATCTCAACCTCAACCAATTTGTGCTCCTTTTTCACCTAAAACCTTTGACCCAATGGTTTATAAGAATCTTTCTGATACTGCTGTTAAATTTGGATATAATTTTACTGTTGAAAATGGTCAGTTTAGATTTGGTCCACCACTTTCATGGAAAAAAGATCAACCAGCTCCTCGGAAAACGGAAATTTTCATCTGCCAAATTCCTCGTCAACTTCCAATGTTGGATTTACTTTTAATCTTGTTTAAGATTGAAAAATTTTTCGATTTCAGAATGATGTTCAATTTTTCTAATTTGAATAAAGGCTTTGCTTTCTGTAGGTTTTTCAAACCAGCAGATGCAGTTAAAGCCATAAATATACTTAATGCTTACGAGTTGGAAAGAGGACGAGATGGTCTACCAATTAAATTAGTTGTTTTACCTTCCGAAGATAAAACAATGTTATCCATTTATCCTCTTCCAACTACTGTTACTCTCAATCAAATCAATCAATTGCTAATCAAATGTGAAATTGATGAAAACTCAATCAAAAATATTGGTAAAGATGAAAACACTTTTCGCCGAGGAGTTAAATGGTTAATTACATTTGATGAACATCGATCAGCAGCTTTGGCCAAAAGAAAATTAATGGCCTTTAAAAATGCCTGGTCATCTAATTTTACTGTCTCATTGCACTCATCCGATCAGGAGAAATCATCTCCACAATCGACACCAACTCCAATCACCACCGTCACCAGCAGTGTTCCTCCAAATCGCAAGGCTTTACTTCCTTCACCACCTCCACTCATACTTTCGTTACCCCGACCACTTACATCGAAGAAGAAAAAATTCCCAAAATCAAATGGTGGCTCTTGTTTTCCGGGACAACGGAACATTGTCAATTCTTACCGTCACGCTTTCGACCCATCGAACAAATTTTCAACAAAGTTCGATGCTTTTAATCCTTTGACTGCATGTGGATCAAGTTACTGATCAATTTGGGTAAGAGACGATAAATTTGCTCGAAATTGTCTATGAATTTTTCTCCCTTTAATTTTTTCCCATCAATTTTAAGTACTTATTTAATTTTATCAACTCATTATACTGAATTTAAGCGATGAAATAAAAGTATTCAATGCATTCATTACGATTTAATCCAAAAATATTATCTTAATTGATTTTGCTTTTTTTTAATAAACTTTTCATGATTTACAACGAGTAACAGAAAAATGGTTGATAGTTTGTTTTTTTTGTCGTGATTTGGTGATTATGTTTAAGTGAAAGAAAGTTTAGAGAATCTCATTTTGAATGAGCTAATCTTGATCAACAGTTAAAATTAAATTCGATTCATTAGATTATCCCATGTATTCGGCAAACTCATCATCTTCTGGATTATCATTAACTGATGATTTTTGTTGCGTTTTCAATTGATTTCTGGGATCTTGTTTCTTATAATTTTCAAGATCATCATCTAAACTTTCAGAGAGAGATCTTTGGTTTCGTCTAGATCCCCAGTAATCATCAATGTCTTGATCTAGAGAAGCTTTTTCTCTTTTAAAAATTGATTTCGATCTAACTGCTCGAGCAAAACTACTAAATAGATTCGGTTCTTCCTCTGATTGAACGTTAGTAGTTGTATTACAGTTTATGTTGATATTGTTGATGCGATCATTGAGATCGAAATCCGGATCCATTTGTTTTCTATAGGAATCCTCAAGCATTTCTTTTGTCTTCTTTTTGAAAACTCTTTTCCCTCTGCCACCAACAGAAATGAAATATTGTTCAATCTCATCATCCAGTTCTTCCCTGCTCTTCGATGGGCCAGTGCAATAATTTGTTTTCATATATTTGGCAAAGATGGATGACAAAGATTCGCCAGGTAGATGTGGTTCAGGCCTAGAATTGTAAGAAAAAAGAGAAAAAAAATGAAAATGAAAATGCTATTAATAAATGTTCTTTTAAATTATCACCGTGGGTAAACAAAGATCCGTTGTCATGAGAAAAAAAAGTAACAAATTTTCTTAAAGAATCAAGCTAATAATCTCTCAACTCTTCCATCAATCAAAGCCGATTTAAGTCTTAAGTTAATCACCTTAACAACATTTGACCTTTGAACTTGAAAATTTGACAGTAAACTTTAATTTACAAAGGTGAAAATGATGAGAAGAAAACAGAAAAATTAGTTGAATCTATAAAGATCCTTAGATATCTAGGGTAATGTTTCGTTTGTTTATTTTTATATAGATTAGACTCTCCAACAAAGACAATGGAAATTAACAAAAACAAAAGAAGGGGGAGAGTAAATAGAAAATCTCTCTTACTTTTTCTTTCTTTCTCTCTCTCTCTATCATTAACCACTTTCTCTTCATGTTATCATGTTTATCATCTCTAGGATAGCACAGAGAAAGTGTTTACTATTAAGAGAAAAAAGCTAACTAGCCGCAGTTAAACAATTTCCATCGGTTAAGAGTTTTTTTTTGTTGCTGCTTATTGCAAGTGATTTAAAGTTGCGATGAGTAATTTGATTAGGAAGCAAATTACTGTTGGAAAGGGAAGAACCCTGAAGTAATATAGAGGACATTTAGGCAACACTCGTTTTGCGTGTTAATCATTATTTAAAATGTAATTTGAACTTGTTTGTTAACCGGGAATTAATTTCTATATTATAAAGTAACAACAAACAAAATTAATTACTCACTCTTGCCACATATCAAATGGTGAGGGCTTAGATTTTTCTCCTGGGCCTGTGATCAAACCAGTGGGCATTATTATGGGTGTTGAAAGGTTTGATTGCCGTGGGGTAGGGTAAGGGGCAGCAGCCGAACGAGCGGCCTTACATCGCTGTAATCGACCAATCAATGTATTCGGACATTTTAATTCTTGAAATCCTGGATCAATCTCTTTCTTTTGAATGTGACAAAGAACCAAAGTGAACCTTTCATTTAGTGTCAAGTCACATTTAGATGGTGGTAGGGTAATTTTCGTCTCAATAACGGGCTTTTTCTCAATTAGAATCTCAGGTTTTGTTCTAATAAAAACTGGAGGCAAAATCTCTTTTCTAATTGTTTTCTCATTAGGTTTTCGGATAATGCGAATAGCCTCTTCGGTTTCCACAATTTCCATTAAATTATTAGCGTCGGGACTGTCAAACTCTCTCATGGTTTCGTATCTTGATGATTGACTTTCCAAAGACATTGTGGTGGCGGCCATTTAAGAATAACAACAATTTAAAAATCCAAGGAGAAAAAAAGAGAAAAGAATAACAATTAAAGTTGAAAAAAGAACAAACGAAATAAAAAAAAAGAATAGAATAAAACAAATCTTCTATTAATAAAGAGAATAGAAAATTAAAAATGATGAAATCACCAAAAAGAAGCCAAATTAAAGATGGAGTTTAATACTTACTGGAGCTTAAGAATTTATAGTTTAACAATTTAGAGGAGAAAAAATAATTTAATTTAAACACTTAAAGCTAATTATCAACTAATTGTCGGTGAATATTAATATCGATCTTAATTGTTAAACTTAATTAATCTCACAATTAAAATCTCTTCGAGTAAAGCGCCACCTTTTTGGAGAAAATCGAACCTGCTGCCATCTGGTGGTTAGAATTTTACACTTTTTCAGCTGTTTCTTTTTTCTTTTGAATCATTTTCTTTTTTGAATCCGTTTTTGTTTAGAGATTGATTTTCATTTGTTTGTTTTTTTTTATTCTTATCTTTTATCATTTTGATGTGGTTTTTTTTTCGTATTAATTAAGTAATTATGAAGTTAAGAAAACGAGAAAGAAACGTCAATCCAGCTTCATCCACAGTCAATTGTTCATCAATTGGTCCATCGTGTTCATCTTCATCTTCATCATCAACAGCTTCAACCTCTCTTACTGGTAACACTTGCAACCGGGCGGGAAAAAGGGTAACTGCCATTCGTGGTAGATCAAAGGCCGTGAAGAAAATTTTAAAAGAGAAAAATGTTCCTACTCAGGTTGATAAAGTTACTGATAAATCGATTGATATTGATAAGATGGCCGATGTTTTCCAAAAATGTCAACATCTACAGTATCATGATGAGTGTATAAAAAAATTGCGGGAATTGTATCATTCTACCAGTCATGAGGATTTTTGTGAAAAGTTTAGACATTTCTTGCGAATTATCTTGCGAAGTGATGCTAAGAGTCCTTTTACCAAAAATTGTCTTGTATTTATACCAAAATTGATCAACACCTTGGACAATGAAAAAAGAGGAATTGAACTTAAAGGTAAGAGTTTTAAGTTGTTGAGATGATCTTTTCCAAATGATGAAATCACTCATCTTATAATATAGTTTATCTCATTTTTCTAATAAATTTTTTCATGTTCTCTTTGATTATTCTAGAGGATGAAACTATGGATGAACTTGCAGAATCTATTTTCGGTGAAGAAATTTTCACCGAAGCTCATTCGAGTAAAGCTTGTGTTCTAGATTACACCATGTCCGAGATTCTTATGAAGGAAATATTTTGTAACGATACAACTGTCCGAAAAAATGTCTGTCTTTTAGTTAGTAGACTTCTTCGTAGTACCAAGGATATTGATGACAAGATTTACAAGGAATTACAAGATGCATTACTTAGTCTTGCTGGTGATCGAAATTATCTTGTTCGAGCTCTGGCCGCTTTCACATTGATACTATTTCAAGATGCAAGTAAACCCGATTGTCCTGTTGTGAATGCATTCAAATTCCATATCGGAATGGATCCCGCTTTTCAAGTTAGAATTGCTTCTCTCAAATCGGTCCTAGTAACTCCTGAGACTCTTCATTTCATCTTAAAAAGATTCGAGATGTTAAAGCTGTAGTAAGGAAAACAGCCTTCACCAAGATCGCCGAACATGTACCATTGAAACTTCTCTCTACCGAACAACGACTTCTAATTCTTAAAGAAGGTCTAAACGATAGACATCCAAATGTTCGTAAAGTGGTGGAAGATAATGTACTTACATCTTGGCTTAAAAATTGTGACGGTGATTTGGTTAAACTTATGACCGAAATAGATGTGAAAAATGAACCTAAATTGACCAAAAAAGTTTTGGATATATTTTTCGGTCATTTTATCGAAACAAGTGATGAGCAATTTGGAACAAGATTCCATAGTGTTGCTCATAATTTCCGTGAATCTTATCTTGATGACGAAAAACTACTCAAAGAAGAGCATCAAACACCGGAAAAAGTTTTCACTTGGCAGTGTTTAAATACTTTCATTAAGAAAAATGAAGATGAATTTATAAGACGAGCAGATAAAAATTTCGCATCAAAACCAATTGATCAGCATAACAATTCAACTCTAACAGGCAACACTAAATTAGATGAAGCAGAAACTGCAGTCGACGATTGGGCTGATAGAACATTAAATGAAGACTCTAATCAAGCCAAAGATGATTCTCACATCGCTGATTACCTATTCCCAGAACTACCACATATTTGTCAATATTTACAAAAGTAAGTCAATAGGTATTCATTTGTTTAGAGTGAAAAACTTACTAACATTTACTTTCCTTTTGATTTACTCTTTTTGTCTCAGGTTTGTCGATTCTATTGATTCTTCCGATAAATCAACTGATGAAGAACTTATTGACAAAGAATTTGTTTACAATCAGTTGGTTTCGATTCTTCTTTTGTACGATGTTTGTGACGAAGCTCAACAAAATTACATCTTAGATATGATTCGTACAATAATCTTTTCACCAAACCTTCATCTTGATTTTCGTGATAGTATTTCACCTATCATGAAGTTTATTGCTCGTCGAATTTTCAAAGATCCAAATCATCTTATCGAATTCACCGCAGAATGTACCAGTAAGGTTTACAATATTGCCGCAGAAATAAGTGTTGAAGAAACTATCATGAAATCTAAAACTCCCGAACCAAGTGGCTCAGTTGAACCAACATTCGATGCCGATTATGCTCGTCTCACAATGGAAATAGAGGAATACAGAGATCAACTTGATAAAGCAATCGCTGAACAAGATTTCATGACAGCTCAAAATATGAAAAATAAATTGGATGAATTGGCCAACCAACGTGAAAGATATCAAAATATTCGATTACAACAGAAATCAACTCAATCACAACAAATTCCACCAAGTCAAGTTCCACCGACAGAACCATTTAACCTAAATGATCACCCGGAAACATTACTTAAATGTTTACAAATATTTGTTGGAGCTTTGGAACATGGTAAATTTGAAACAGCGAATACTCTAATTTTCAGTCATATCGATCAAATTGTTCTACCAAGTGTATTAAATATAGATGGACGTACTCGAACAATCGCTGTTAAAGCACTTGGACTTTCATGTCTTCTAAGTGACTCTTTATTCCGTCAACACTGTAATCTTATCTTACAAGTTCTTAAATACGACTCTGAGATTATGACTCGAGTGATCGCCTTACATAGTATCTTTGATTGTATCTGTAAACATGGAATTGAACCTTTACTTAGAAAGACGAAAACAACTACCGAAGAGAGAAGATCATCAAGAATGAGAATCGAGGAGGATATCGCCAATCTTACTCTTCAAGGTGGTGATCCTGAACTACTCGAACTATCACAAATGGGAAGTATCGGTGATGCAGAAACTCAAGCTGAGATTCATCGTTCAATGATGGAAGAAGACGATGAAAATGATGAGGAAGATGAGGAAACTGATGCTGAGACAACGATAATGGATCGAGAGAGAAGTCGTCGTTTTGAAACTTTAAATAGTAACTCTGAACAAGAGATGATCAATTCATTGGTTAAACTTTTCACTGAGACTCTTTTCAATAATGGAGTTGATGAAATGGAAACAGCAGCATTTGAAGGTTTCGCCAAATTAATGATCCTCGGTGTTATCTATTCTCCATCGTTACTTTCTCGATTCATAATTACTTGGTATTTACCCGAGACAAAGCCCAGAATTTTACAATTTCTTGGTGTTTTCTTACCAATTTATGTTGGCTCTGAAAGCAAATATGTTCGGGAAGATGATCACATCACAGTGACTGGTCAAACTTGTCTAGTTGATTGTTTTATCGACACTTTGGAAGTGCTTTTCGAAGCCAAATATTGCCTGGATAAAGATCCTAAAGATTTACGGTTATTCCAATATTTACCAAAACTTGATAAAAATTGTCAATATCGACAAATTGATTTGAAAAATGTAACCAGTTTCATGCTTAATTTGATCAAACCAAGTCACCATAAGCATCTACTTAGTAATCTGATTCACAAAATGTATTCTATTGTGATCAGTAATGATCAAGAATTTAAATTTTATGAAGATTTTCTGATTGAATATCTTCTCAAGGCTTGTCTACGCTTATCCCTGGATGATATTGATGATACAGTTTTCAACGAATTACGTCCAGTTATGATTAAGTTAGCTGTTAAAGTTAAATCTCGAATGGAGGGAATGAGAGCTTTAAGCCGAAAGAAGGCCGAAAAGTTTATTCGATCTTTCCTAATGTTTTATAAATCATTTGGTCGAGGTGAACTCAATGCATCCCTTTCACATGCTTCAGGTGAATTGGGTGATGATACCGAAGGAACTGGTGAATTGGATGAACTTGAACAAATGGAAGAAGATTTGAATCTTGATCCATTAGGATCAATGCCAGAATTAAGTGATGATGATTCAAAGGAAACCGATGGAAAAGATAAAGGTGATGATGAAGATGAAGAAGAAAATGGAGGTGATGATGATGAAATCGCTGATGGAATTGATTCACTTTCAGATGTATCTGAAACTCTCCGATGGTCAGACATTGAAGAAAATGAAACCTAATCAATTGATACACTTTCCACTTTTTATTTGCAAATCATGACAATTTACCATCATCAACATCATTTAATCAATTACAATTTACCATCAAGAATAATGATCTAGTTATCAATTATATTATCATTATCAAAACTGTTAAAACTTTTCATTCATTATCAAACTATTATTTCCCTCCCTCATGCTTACATCATATTATTTTCAATCAAGTTGTCTATATTTTTAGAAGTCCATTGTAACTATTCATCAAACAATCAGTTAATTGTATAACCTGATCATCTTAGTATCAATTGCGATTAAATTGTATCAAAGTGTCGCCATCTTGAAGAGATTCTCGTAAACAATTTGTCTTTAATCATCTGTTGATGAACATTTGATTTACTCTGTTGATCTGTTTTTCCCTTTAAATTGTTATATTTTTTGTAAACTTATTGTTTTTCCTTAACCTTTACATCAATTATTATGTATAAATGTGGACTATTTTTGATACAATCGCCATTCACCAAGATCCCATCGACAATTGGTCACTTCTTGAATGAAGCTAAATCATTGGTTTCAAAGTGCTTTATGTTAAAATTGTGAAAACTTTAAATTGTCAAGATGGTAAACACTCAGATGAACAATCAGATTACCCTGATGATAATCACTTTTATTTACCGACCATTTATCGAGCTGCAAGTTTGAGAGTCCCCCATTTGGATGTAAGAGTGATAATTAAATCAACACTAACTGATTTCCACAATCAACCTCGAGTACTTCTTTACAATGGATTGGAACAAATTAATCCAAAGTAAGTGTTAATATTTATTAAGAATACAATTTATACTTTAGACGGACAAATTGTTGAAGAACTTGTTTCATTAATCTTTTTATTTTCATCTTTTTCCTTCTTATTTTTGGCCTAATTATAATTACATGTTTACAGAAATTTACCAAGTCTTCTCGGGAACAATATTGATCTTGGACAATTTAAGGAAATTAAGATGGTCCCGAATCCTGAAGTAACACCCGATTCTCCATCTCCAATTGAAAAGATCACTTTTCATGATCATATTTGCCTCGGGGGAACATTTGACCATCTTCATAATGGTCATAAGGTTTTATTGAGCGAAGCTTTGATTAGAACCAGAAAATCAATGACAATTGGAATAACTAATGTTAACATGGTACAGAAAAAAGTTCTATGGGAATTGATTCAACCCTTGGAAAAGCGGATGGACGATGTTCGTTCATTTCTAACTGATGTTTGCGATTCCATTGAGTACAAAACTGTTGGTATTACTGATCCCTTTGGACCTGCGATTGTTGATCCTGAATTAAGTTGCATTGTGGTCAGTCAAGAGACGCTTAAAGGGGGCGAAAAAATCAACACAATTAGAAAGGAAAAAAATATGAACGAATTGGAGATCGTTTGTTTTGATATGGTTAAAGATGAGGCTCATGAAAGTCAACATGAAGAAGATAAAATTAGTTCATCAAGTTTACGAATGCGAAAATTGGGAACTCTCATTAGAGAACCGCCAATTCGCAATAACCTTCCTCGTCGACCTTATCGTATTGGCCTTATTGGGGGAATTTGTTCTGGAAAATCAACAATCTGTAAACATCTTTCTGACCTTGATATTTTTACAATCAACGCCGATGTGTTGGCTCATCAAACTTATTCCAATCCAAATGCTATCGCTTATTCAAAGTTGATCGAGGCTTTTGGGACTGAGATAGTGAATTCTACTGACCAGTCAATTGATCGACGAAAATTGGGTGCAATCGTTTTCTCTGATAAAACTAAACTTAACCTGTTAAATTCAATCATTTGGCCTGCAACAAGGGAGTTGATTGAACAAAGAACCAGTGAAGTCTCTGAACAACATGATATCGTCGTTGTAGAAGCGGCTCTCTTATTGGAAGCAGGTTGGGAAGATCAATTCCACCAAATTTGGACTTCAATCATTCCCGTTGACGAAGCAGTTCGTCGGTTAAAAGTTCGAAATAATCTAACGGAAGAGGAAGCTCGTCAAAGAATTTCCAATCAAATGAGTAATCAAGAAAGAGTTGAACGTGCCAATGTAGTTTTCTCGTCTCAATGGGAACGAGAATTCACCAATAAACAAGTGGAAAAAGCGGTTGAAATGCTACGGAAAAATTATCTATGTTAATAAGAGTAAAAAAATCTTAATCAAGTTATAAAAATTTCACATTTACAGTTAATCTTGAAATTCATTGATGATCTGAAAATTTGAATTGCTTTCAAATCGTGAAACGAATCACAATCTTAGCTCTTATTAATCACTTTTCGGTCTAAAATATTGAACTTACTTTTTCAGTCTTTTTTCATTCAAGAGCCAGAAAAATGGATACAAATAGTGGAATCATTCAAGTCAAAATTCATTGTATTCACCTCATCGCCATCATCATCTTCATCTTCATCGCCAATCGGTATAGCCAACAATAGATTGAGGAAAAATATTCTATCCATGAGATATCAAGCATATTATCATATATATTTTTTATCTTCATCTTTTCTCTATCTTTCATATTATCCTTTTCACTTTCTATTACCTAGTATCTAAACAATTCAATTCATTTATCTTTTGTTATCTTCTTTCTCCCTCTCTCTCTCTCTCTCTGTCTCTTACTCTCTCACTCTTTGTATTTCCATCATCATTTTGATTCTCTTTTCATAGTCTACACAATCAAACACAAAAAGGCTCCTTCTCTCTCTCTCTCTCTCTCTCTCATCATCATCGCCTGAAATTAATTGTCAACCATGTTATTATTACCTGTGATTCCTTTTTCTCTTCTTCCTCTTCTTCTTCATCTTCACCATTCATTAAATCGTCATCATCATCGTCATAATCATGATTTCATTTCTCCCCACGAGCAATCAGTAGTTTCCTTTTACCTTTACAATTCACATAATAATTACAAAGATTGATTCATATATGATTCTTGTGGTTTATTATCACAATTTGAAACTTTTCGTATATTTTTTTACTCATTTTCTTATCCCCATTCATTGCTAATTCAATTAATTTCAATCTTTTTTTTTCTTCATCATCTTCACATTGCTGATTATGATTCTAAGGTCTACCTCTTTTCTTAAATTCATTTACAATGGATTAACTTATCAACAGGTAAAAAAGTGTAGGTTTAGTGAAAAATTATTCAACCTTTTCCTTTGCACTTCTTATTATTGAAAGTTTACATTTTCTCCAATGTAAATAATACACTTGATTCTGTTTTTTTCTCATCACTTTTCATGATCATTACAATTTACTCTTCAACAATCAAGGTTAACAACTATCAGTTGATTGAAAACGCTTTTATAATAAAGAAATTGTCAAATTTCAATGTATTTACACACAATAAATTGATCGTTAATTGTCAAAGATTTACTTTGATCAACTCAACCATTGATTAAATCAATGATATTTTTTTTTATTTTCAAAGTGATTGTTTATTTTAAGCTGATTGTTAGCAATAAACGTTTAATACGATATAAAAGGAAAAAGCTTAATCAGAATCAATGTAAATGTAAAAAACAAATTGTCAAAGGAAGTTGACAATCAAAATTTACAATGAAGATGGTTAATTGTTATGCTGAATGTTATTAATTAGTTAGTTTATTGTTTTCATTTTAATTAAATTATTAATCGAGTGAGTGTCCGAGTAGAAAAGTGCTTCCGTTGTATTATAAATAGTAAATCTAGTGAAGACAATTAACTGAATGAATAATCATCATCAATTTTAATGATAACTTAAACAAAGGAGATGAAGATCAGGCTAATGTCCGTATCCTATTGTTTCAATGATGATGATAGTCTTATAGTAGTTGGTAATCTCACTCTTACATGGAGTGAGAATGATAAAGTTCAATATCAATGTCAAGAGAGAGAGAGAGAGAGAGAGAGAGAGAGAGAGATAAAAACTCAGGTATATCACCTTCATGGCCTTTTGATTGTAGTTAATTTAGGAAACAACTGATGCATAAATTATATACCTGAAGTAGTTACTTTTTTATCCTTTAACTAACTTGATATCAATGATGATCCGTTGTTAGTTAATCAGTTGGTTGGTTGATAGTAGGAGGCATTTCAATCCAGTGATATATTATAATTTGTTGTTGTTTTATATCCAATGATATAACTTCCGTAACTTACCTTTCCTTTTCATTATTTAGCTTATCATCATCATCATCATCATCATCATCATATATTATCATCATATTTCTTTTTTCATCGCATGATATCCTTCAAGAGTTTATTATAATAATATTATTGAATAACATTGAGATGATGATGATCATCATCAAAATATGGAAATGATGAGGAGACTGAATGAATAAGTAAATTAATAGAAACTACAGATAGAAAATCGTTTTTTTCCCTTGTCAGAAAAAAAAGATTAGGATGAAGATGGCGATTCTTTACCTGATGATTTACCTTTCAGGTGAAGTAATAAAACCATAGAAATTTCATATATATACTATGTTTCTATGTATCAACTATGGTTTAATGAATTCGACGAGACAATAGATGAATCAATGACTCTTAGAGCGAGAACAAGATGATGATGATGAAAAGAAGACTTTTTTTACCTTTAAACTGAAAAACGACAACATCCTGATAATGTCTCGTTAGAATTTCCTTCAATGAAAATCTACTTGATAACTACAATTGTTTCGATTGTTATTGTTACTTTAATTATGAATTATGTTCAAATTCAATCTTAAATTTGATACGAACAAAGTTTAACTAATAACCAGTGTAATTATCTTTGATATTATTCAATTTTCATGAATGCTTGTAAATCATTCTAATGTTGTTGTTGTTACTGACAAACATTGACACTTAAATGTAATATTTAATCATCATTAATCAATCGTAATCAGATCTAATTCAGTTCATCAATTTTATGCTCTTCTTTTTCAGAGTTAATTTATTAGAATGAGTTACATACATAATAATATAACGGTAAATGTTTTCTACCTTTATATCATTTAAAAAGGTTACCTTTCAAAGGTAAAAAGTAACACATACATATGATGATTAGGATGATGATGATTCCATCAGAAAAGTTTAATGGATCTTACATTATGATTAAAAATGATTCTAACCTCATCTTCCTTCATCATCTATTAACTTTTTCATCTTCTTCTCCATCATCATCATCATCATCATCATCTTCATAATAACCGCCTTCTTCATCTGCTTCCTCATCATCTCCATGAGTTATGATATTAATTTTCTTTCTGTTACTTGTAATAACATCAATTAAATGATTATTATTATCATCTCATTGATTGTGACTATTCATTCATTTAGGTTTATCATCTGTCTCATCATCATTTGTATCAGTTTTATCATCATTCTCTCTCTCTCTCATGTCAAACCAGAATGTCAAGAAATTCATTTCAATCGAAATGAATTAGATTTTCATGTTAACTTAAATTCACAACTTTTTCCTTTTTTTTAATTTTCATGATAATTTTCTGTCACAATTTAATCACTAATCATCACTTCAAAATACACAAAGAGGGAGATTATTATTATAACTATTAATACAATCGATAACTAATTATGTTTAGTGCTCTAGCTTTTAGTTTATTTACTTTTTTTAATGATGAAAAATTTACTTTTACTATTATTGAATTATTTGTTTCAATCTAACTCGTCAATTGTTCATTGAACTTTTACCATGTTACATTCATTAATTTAGTTAACCATTTATTTCATGATTCATTCAACTAATTTACTCATCATTATTATTATCAATTCAATTGACTGATTGTCTTTAGTCTTCCTTGGATTTCATTGGTGGATAAAGATTCAGAGCTTTGAATTTAGTGATTCACTTTCTGTTTCTCCATATGAATAACTTGGAACAATCAACAATTAACACAAAAAGAGACTCTAGACGAAAGAGAAATTGATGAGAAATGAACTGCAAGCCAACTGAGAATGAAAGAGAAAAATTCTAATCCCAAAAGTTTTAATCTCTCGTTCATGTTTACTGAACTTCATGAAAAGATTTTAATAATAAATGATAATGAAATTTGAGAGAAAAGTTTTTTTTGCACTTTTGTTATTCTTTCCACTAGATGGCAGTTAAGTTATACTTTTATTAGAACTTTTTTTCTGTCGATTTTATTTTTCATCTGATACGAAAATTAGACTATTATTATTATTATTATTGGAATTAACTCTTGAAATTTATGATTACCTATAGAGAATGGAAAATATTACCTTTCAGTTTAATAATGTTCATGATTTTCCAAAGTAAATTATCAGATGAAAATAATGATTAGTTGAGAGTAAGAAGACAAATCATCAACGTTCAATTATCATCAAGAGTGAATTTTACATTTTATCATCTCTCATAATCTCACCCACCTCCACTTCCACCTCATCTTCATTTCCCTCTATTCTTTTCTCTTCATCATCATTATAATTATTCTTTTCTCTGCTCATTTTTATTTCATTAACAACTCTTAGCTTTTGATTCTGTCTCTTTGGTTCTCGTCATCACAATTTGAAGGAGGAAGTAAAAGAGAGAGAGAGAGAGACAAGTGGGAGGTGGTTTATTTTCCTCATTGGCCCAGCCTTTCATTGGCCTCCAAAACAAAAGATGATCAATGAAGAAAAAAGGAGATGCGTAGATGGAAAACCACCTCCACTTCCACCACCACCTCCTCCTCCTCCGCCGTCATCTTCACCACCATGAAGAGAGGAAGAGGCAAAGGAAGGAAGAAGAGGATGAGAGGGTGGTAGAAAGAGGTGGAGCTGTGTGTGTAGAGAGAGAGAGAGAGTTAGAGTTAGAGGTCGGTTTAACATATATTGATGATGATTTCGAAGAGAAAATGAAATCAAGTTGAATGATGATAACTATCCCATTGAATTTATCATGGAAAAGAATACAAAAAAAAGATGAAGAATATCCAAAGAGGAAAAAAATATAATAATGATAATTCAGATGAAGATGTAGATGTAGATAAGACATGGAAGAATAATAATTTCTCATATTCATCCAGTTAATCTGAGAAAAAAATCTGAATACAAATACTCATAATCGTCATTTATTAGTGATCATTTCAATCCTATAAGATTCATGATTATGATAATCATCATCTTCTCAACGAAGTAAAACTCAAATCATCTTTATTATATCACAATAATAATAATACAAATATAATAAGAAAAATTTTCTATTACACTTACTCATCAACCTTTTACCTGTGTACAAAATTTTAAGAGCTAAAAACGGAGAAACAATCAACTTACCGAGTTGCCGATTCGTCGGAAATTAGCACTTTAAAGTGTCCAAAATGAAAATCTTTACCGTTTATGGTTCCAATTTACCCTAATAAGTTGTTCAAATAAACAAAGGTAATCGCACTCAATGGTACCAAATAAAAAAGTACTAGAAATATAAAATATCCTTAGTAAAGGTAACAATTACATGACAGAATATAAAGAAACAGTTATAAGATGTTTGAACATTTCGACCAATATACAGAAACGGCAATAACACCAATTTCTGCCTTAAGTGGTTCGAGCCGTTGCCTTTTAATGGCTACATTTCTAACTTGATGATTATCTCACCTGAGAATATGGTAAAGGTGAAAGGATTAACGTTCTAACGATATTGTTATTACTTGTTATTTGATTTTCGTTCAATCAATGTTGACCACTAGACTGAACACAATGAATTCTCAATGTGTTGTTTTCCATTGTGTTATTAGCACGTTAGAAAAAAAAGAAAATTCTTTTTCTAATTTTATCTTCTATTTATCTCATGTTTGCTTGAATTACTTTCATCAAGTTAAGCGTTAACCATCATCATAATCATTGCATCAGCAACAATCAAGGTATCAGACCAATTTATCTGTAAGTATGGATTAGCTTAATGATTACGATGACGATGGTGATAAACATAATTGTAAAAAAAGGTAAATAATGATAATCCAATGGTAACAGATTATCATCTCTCTTTCATTCAATCGGATTAACAGGTTAAGAAACTTTCGTTTCCTCAATGGTCACTTTTTCACAATTTGTTGACAACTTTTATCATTTTCCATCACTCTCATCATATCGCTAATCCAAATCCTCTGAGGCAATAATAATGATAGAGTTGAAATCAAATCGCATTGATAAAAAAAAGTTGATAATACAAAATCAATGATAATCTTATTAGTTAACGGTTGCGAATAAGTTTGATTAACCTAATTATCTGACTTTTAATTAAACATTACATTGACCTTTCCCTTGATATTACTTTGAACCAACATAATTGTCTGCTTGACCACGTCCAAGTAGGATGATAAAGATGATGAATACTGGTCATCATCATCATTTACCTGAGTTTCCTCATCAATGACAAAACAAAAATAAAAGCTAATTAAACAATAACAATGATGAAATATGCCAACAATCAACGTCCAATTCAATTTTTCAATTGTTTTCAAACATTAATTCATCTAAATTACTGAACCGAATATAATAATTATCATTGTGTCCTCATTGTTAATCATTCACAATCATTATCACTTAATCAAGATAATATACAAGAAATTTATTATTCTTACAATTGATCAGATCAATTTTTAATTAATCTTGATAAACATAAATAATAATATCAATTAATAATCAATAAACTGCTACATTCAAATGTAATATATATATAATATATAAATTATATATTATCAACCAGGTCAACAGCATCATCAGTAATCAAGTTGTACCTTTGATTATGTTGATAATTTAATAACAAAATTTCAGATGATAATAAAAATAATATCATGAAGAGGCGTTTGCATTGAAAATGTATGAGACTCATTTATCTGCTTCAATCATCATCATGATAAAATTGAATTAATTTTTTTCTCTTGCTCATAATTTTCATCTTCATCAACAGTATCAAGTTTAACATTACTGGTTATTTTGAATGAGTGGGTTAGAGATAATGAAAAAAAGGTGAGCTTAGATTATCATCATACCCGAATTTATGATCAGAGAGAGAGAGAGAGAGAGAGAGAGCGAGAAGATTAGTGTCATGATGGACAGTCTCAAGATCATCTCTCGATGTGACGATGAAGATGAAGATGAAGAAAAGTGTATACAACAAGATGATGATGATAAAGATGAAGACAAAAATCAAATGAGATTAGTGTTCAATTGAATGGTAACATCAAGTTACATCCAGGTAATAATAATAATGGAGGCGGATGATAATGATTATCTTCAAGATGATAACAATTTTGAAATACAAGATGAATCAATGAAGAGCTGTGAGCAGATAATCTTTATGTATTAACATGAGGATAAATTTTCAATGAAGAAACAGAGGAAATGGAATAAATTTTTCAAGAGACACTAAGGAAAACCCCCTCAGGCAAATGATATTGCAATATTAATGTAATAATAATAATGATCAAGATGATAATTTGTATCTTTCATCCTAAACTGTGGTTTCCCAGGTATCTATCATCTTCCACTTCATCTTTACTCTCTCACTCCATGTGAGATTTACATTGTTTTAACATTGCATTCATCATCTTTCCATCATCATCCATAATATATAATACCCGTTTGATTATCTTTGCTTCCCGTTTTTTAATATTTCGTTTAGTTAGCTAGTGTCAAACGATTTACCAAACCATCACAGGATAAAGTGATTAGTTGATTATGACGGGTAAAGATAATCAAGACAAATGATTGTTTTCTCATTGCAATACAACACTTTGAGCTTTTGTTTGTTTCTTTCATGATGCTTTTTGTTGCTTATTATTGTTGTTTGTAGATACTTTGTTTTTTTTTACTGTTTCCATCGACATCCATTGAATCATGTTCATCATCATCATCATCATAATTTCAAGGTTGCAAATGATAATCATCATCAACATTACACACAACAGGGAAAGTAAATATAGTTGCATATGTGGTTTATTGCAATTTGTTGATTGCAAGTGAAAATACAATTGCTAATGTCTAAGTTACTAAAAAAAACTAATACATTTCATGTTTTGCTTTCTTACTGGTCAACCTGCTGAGAGAGTAAAAAAGGTCAGTTTAACATTGATCATCTTCATCAGTATCATCATCATCATCATCCTCATCATCAATATTATGTATAATCATTAATAAAGTTTGTTGCTTCCACTTCATTGTCTCAAGATGATGATAATGAAGTTGATGATTACATCAATACACTTTTGGGTCTGATACATTTCAATGAATATCATTTCTCTCAGTACACTGGGAAAATGATGATGATGATGATGATGAGGAAGATGGATAAAAGACAGAGAAACAGACAGATAAAATTGAATTTCAGCTTCTGAGTCTGGAGTCAAGCAGAGTACCAATATCATCATTATCATCATCATCATCATCATCTTCAGTATATAACATGTTACATTCAACTAATCTGAATATTATGCTTTTCAATTGCACCAACATGATGTTATTATCAATTCCCAATCAATCTAATATGTTTATTTATCTTCATCATCATTTTATCCTCATCCTTGTGGGAGTTTTAAGGTCACTTTTCGTACCAATGATAAAATCCACTCAAATTGACATGTAATACACTTGTCACTCATTTAAAATGTAAAAAAAACGCAATCATCATCATGTAATAATAATAACATCAAATATTAACAATCTAATGTTAATTGGTAATCATAATGTAATCAAATCAATTTTTACTGATCAATAAGTTTTTTTTTTCTTCTAATAATTGTTCAATCGATAAATAGTAAATACATTAAGTTGTATATTCAAGTGTTGATTGTTGGTTGTTTTTTTATTATTATTAGCATTATGATTATCATAATTAATATAATATCATGATTGTTATATTAATTTAAATTGTTTGTTTGACTTTGTTACACTAAAATTATTTGTTTTTATGATACAATTGATTGATTATATAAGGAAGACGAATGTTCAATTGGAAGGAATCGAGAGGTAAGAAGTTGGTGATTTTTTCTGGGTGACGGAAGAGGAAATGGGAGATAAATGAAGATGATAGATGATGGCAAAGGTGAGAGAGAGAGAGAGAGAGACAAATTCAGGGTGTGGTAATATGTAGTTTAGAATAATTAATATAAACAATTTTCTTCTAATAATATTAATGAATGAATTGAATATTATTCATCGGAGAGATTGTAAAATTGCATTGATCAATTAATGAATCGGATTTTCAATTTTCTACCATCTAAATTAAGAGATTTTTGAGTTAATTTAATTTCTATTATACTGCTTCCTCTTTAAATGCAAGTATTGTCTAACTAATTAGCTAATTGTTGATGGTGTGAGTTGTTTTTTTTGGTGTTTTTTTTCACTCGTTTTGTTCAAAGATTTGTGTGTCTCTTCATGTGAAGGGATAAATGGTCTGAACGGGAAAATGCTCGTTCACAAAGTCGACATTGAAAAGGTTTGTCACCGGTGTGTTTACGAAAATGTCGGGTAAGCTCATCGGATCGGGCAAATTTCCACCCGCACCCTTTCCAGTTACAGTGATACGGTTTCTCACCGGTGTGGGTTCGAAGGTGAGCTTTTAAATGGGAAGATTTGGAATAACTTTTACCACACCCTGTATATGAGCAATAATGAACTGTAACCTTTTTACGACCTGAGCTTCGTCGTCCACGGCGACTTTTAACCACAATTCCTATTGACGTTGTTGATCCAATTTTTTGTCCTGTCGAAGATGTTGTCGTTGTTGTTGTTGCTACATTCGGTGCTGTTGGAGGTGGTTGATGCTGTTGTTGCATATGAACTGATTGAGGTGGTTGCGAGGGTGTAGTTGAAGGTGGTATAAGATTTGAACTACCTAATGATGATGGTATCAGTGGGTTAACTGTTGCAGTTATCGACACCGTTAATGGGGCTATTTGGTGGTGGTGATGATGGTGATGATGATGAGCATGTTGTTGTTGTTGTTGTTGTTGCTGTTGTTGGTGGTGGTGATGTAAATGAGGATTTGCTTGTTGTTGTTGCTGCTGTTGATGTGATTGGTGTGTTGATTGTTGCTGATGAGGAAGATGATCTTGTTGTTGTTGTTGATTGTGTTCATTTGTTATCGGTAAACCATTAACTGTTGATCGGTTAACCATAATTGTTGTCGATTCATAATAACCATCATTTTGATTGTAACGTACGTTATTGTAACGTACATTTTGATGGTGTGAATGATGATCAGTCTCTTGTTGATGGTGTTGTGAGGGATGAGCTTGTTGTTGAAAATGATGATGAGATTGATTCAAATGATTCAGATGACCTGAACTAAGTAACATTTCTTGATCATTACTTGATGATGGTGATGGAGGTGTGGTTATACCACGTGATCCGTAAGTAGGAGTTACAGGTATTGGTGAGATATAGGAAGTGTATTCAGGGGTATTCAGGGTGTAAGGGGCACTTGGATTATGATCAATTGATTGGGGATTACCATTTAAATAAATGTCTCCAGAATAATTGAGATTTGTCATTTGCTGTAATCTATTTTGTTGCTGTTGATGGTGATGATTAAGATGAGATTGTTGTTGTTGATTATTATGATGATTTAATGGCAAATGATTATTATTGGTGTTGAAATTTGTATTCTGATGATGAAGAAGATGTTGATGATGAGATATATGATTGTGTTCTAGTTTAATTGATTGTTCATCATTGCTGGAATTCAGATATTGCTGGTTTTGTTGGTGATGTTGGTTATGTGGTTGTTGTTGTTGATGATGGTGGTGGTGATTATGATGATTTGAATGATGGTGAATATGATGTGGAGGGTATTGGTGGTTGATATAAGGTTTGTTCTCGTTGGGTGGTGATGCTGGTGGTGACATTTGCGATCCCATTAAGGGTATTAAGGTACCGCAAAGGGATGAAACTAAACTTGAACTGTTATCAAAAGGTGATGACGAGGATGATGAGGACGAAGATGAAGATAACGATAGGGATGAGGTTGAAGAAGATACTGAAGACAGTGAGCCATTTGGAAGTATCGAGTTGACTGTTGGTTTTATATTTGATGGTGATAAAGATGAAGAAGAGACCAATTGATTGGTTGGTGAGGCGGGAGATGATGATGATGTTGGTGAAGGTGAAAAGTATTTACATGAGTAGCCGTTAGCACCAGTGTTAGTGTTGCTTGTTGGTGTTGTCGTTGTAGATGATGATGTTGTTGTTGGTCCAATGGTAGGGGAGGTTGAAGAGGTAAAACCGTGATTACTGTTTGAGCCATTTAAGGGATAATTGTGATGAGGATTAAGAGTAGATTGGTGATGATGATCATTCAAAGGGGAATCACAGAAATAGCTTAAAGTTTCAACGGGTTGAAAAGCATTACCATTGACATTGATGTTGATCATGGTACTTGTATGTTGTTGTTGTTGTTGTTGTTGGGTTGGTGATTGGGCTAATTGAGTTTGGCTTGATGATGTTGTTGTTGTTGTTGATGATGAGTTAGACCAGATCATTGGATCCTTGGCACTTGAAACCATCTCATGGTGGTGATGTTGTTGTTGATTGGGTTGATGATGATTCCATGATGTTGTTAATCCATTGAGATCATCTGATGTCTCATCATCACAATTAACACCATTCAATGGACTTGAATGATTACTATTATTATGATTACTTGTGATTACATTTTCATCTTTATCATTAATCTCATCATTTTCATTACTAATCAATGAATTATTTTTGTTGTTATCTTTATCATTATCATTATTTGAATCAATGTTTTGTTTACCATTATCACCATTAATTGTTGTTACTGTATTTTCATTGCCATTAGTTAAACTAGTACAATTTAAATTGTTCCCATCGCTGTTACTATTATTATTATTATTATTATTACCATTTCTTTTATTATTAATTTCATTATTATCATCTAAATGTTTACCGTTACTTTTGTTACCATTGCTGATGATTGATTGATTAATCGTTAATAAACATTTAACTAAATCTTGGTCACTATTAACAATATCTTCATTATTATCATTACTATTTGAATCATTGTTATTTGGCTGATTAATTTTACTCAGATTGATATAATTAATTTCAACTGAATCATCAAGTTTTTCACGTTTTATCATCATTGGATGTTCATTGATCATCATATTGTTTCCGGGTGATGTTGATGGGCTTGTGTTGGTTGTAGTTGAGGCTAATGATGAAGGTACAATTGATAATCGAGTAAGATATGAATTTGTTAATGAATTGTGATTATTTCTGACCAATAGTGGCCTGGAAGATGATGATGAAGATGAAGAAGAAGATGATGATGAGGTAGATAATGTTTCATTGATGACCATACTCGGATCACACAAAACAAACGCTAAATCTTGCCAAATCTGTGAATAAACACCAAACAGGATGAAAAGAAACAAAAGGATTAATATAAGGATGAAAGATGATGATAAGGATGATTAAGAGAAAGAAGAAGATGATAAAAAATGAAACCTTGTTTACTCTCTCTCTCTCTCTCTCTAGCTCACTAATTTATCCGATTCCATTGTATTCATAATAAGATTGTGAGTATTTACACTTTTGTATATTTTGTTTTTCTGATTTGTAATTCTCACTCCAGGGAATCTTCAAATCGATGATGAGAAGAAGAAGAAAAAATCATCATCATCATCATCATCACAGCTAATATGATGCTGAATGATGATGAGGATAAATAAGAGACAATTTGTTAAGACAGATTAAGTTGCGCATTTATATACATAAACAACCAATCAAATTATTGGGTAAACATTATCATCATCATATCGTATTAAATATTGACTAAGCTGCGCATCAAATGATGATTATCATCATCATTTTCCTCTTTCTCTCTCTTTCTTTTTTTCTCCACCATCACCTCCTCCTCCTCCTACTTTTCCTCCTCCTTATCCTTATATTCATGTAACATTATTATAACACAATGAGTGGTGTAAACAACAACAACAAGTATGTATTCTGGTCAAGTACTAATCTATTTTGTTACCTGAGTCTAATATGTTAGTTGTTTTAACCTCTGCAGGGAGTTTGTGTGCTAGGATGAGGATGATAATCAACAAAAAATTGATGAAGATCGGTAAGCCGATGTGATTAATGACGAGAGAGAGAGAGAGAGAGAGAGAGAGAGCCAAACTAATTATCTACCCATCATCATCATTGGAATATCATCCTTCATCTTATGAATTTTTTTCTCTCTTCATCATCTTCCATCTTCCTTATTATCCTAATCTTGACCATCTCTCATTTCCACCAGGTAGGAATTGATTTTTGTTTCTCTCTCTGTATTTCCTGCTCAACAATCAACTAATATCATCTCTCAATATCAATAATAATAACAAGCTATCTATTGTGATAATAATTATATTTTTATTATCATTTCTGAAAACATTTATTTGATATTAATACAATTCAACGTTTCAATTGAATATCGTTTTCATATGATTACTTTATCATTTATTTATAACAATAAAATTGACTCACAATCAGATTAATTCAGTTCTGAAAGTTCATTTCTATCATAGTAATAATTATCCTTTTAAATTTTCTCATCATCATCAGACAATCAAAAACATTAATAAAATCTAATTGTTGCTAATCTGATTTACTATTAAATACTATTAATTATTATTATATGAATGATCATCGACAATTGTATTAAAAATATTGATCATTGATTAAATTAAATGGTGAGAAATTTACATATAATCTTAAATTCAATTGGTTGATTAGAATTGATTTCAATTGATTATATTTTCATGAGAGATATTAAATTGTTGTTGTTGTTGATTTAATCTACTTTCACTTTGATTAATCGTAACCATAAAGTTAAATTCAATTAAGTACAAATCTTCATTGTTGCAATTCAATTTATATACACTAAATTGTTTAACTTCACAATCAATTTAATTTCATTTTCTGGTGTAGGTAGGATAAGGTGATAATAATGAGTAACAATTAGTTGACTAACAATCAAATCAGTTTTGAGTGTCAAGTTTTCATCATCATCATCATCATTTATGATTAGGTGATAATCAAACAAATTGTTAAGGTAAACAATTTATTGATTTTCATTTTTCTTTTCCAGGTCAATTGAATTGAATCAACTCATTTTAAAAGACTAATTGTTTGATTGTTTTTCTTTAAATTGTCATAAAAATGTTAATTAAACTATTCCAATGTACTGATTATTATAAAATGACAATTAGAAGATAATTAAGTTAACTAACTTACCTCATCATCAGGGACACTATGAACTGAATCCATACCTTGACTGAGCGTCATTGAAACAATTAATTATGATGATAATTTGAAAACCAATGGGAAAACAATTGCTGTTAAATTGTTAATTGTTGACGTTGATTGTTGCACGTTGAAGATATACTATAAATATAGTATATATTATATATAAAATATAATATTTATAATGATGGTGATGGTTAATTAATTAAAAATGATGGCAACAAGCAAGAAACAAAAAAAAAACTTTTATCAAACAAACGTAACAACGTTGATGACGATTGATGTTGATTGTTTGTTGTTGATGGTGATGATGATGAAGAAAAATAAAATACTTTCGGATGAAAATGATGAGTGGGAGCTGCGACTTGTACGCCATCTAAAGGAGAGAGTCACTCGGAAGACGAGGATGATAAAAGATGATGAGGTTGAGTGAGCTCTTACCTGGTTCATTTTTTTTCGCTCTCTCCCTCTCCTCTTTTGAGCAACTTTTTTTTTCCATCAGAAAAAAAATCAGGATAATAATCATTTCTTGCTTTTCAATCATTTATGCCTTTTACCTTTTACCTTATGAACTTTATCAACAATTAGATTTTGTTATATTGTAGTAGGAAGATAGAGAAGATGATAACTATGACTATGATGATGATGATGATGATGATAAGCAAAGATAAAAGGCAGATGATATAAGTATTATTATCTTCATGGAGCAATATATTTTCACTTGCGTGATTATTATCGTTATCAACATGGACACTGGTCAAACAATATCATCAACAATCTAATATCATTAATATATTGGTCAATCTCTCTCTCTCTCTCTCTCTCTCTCTCTCTCTCTCTCTCTCTGTAATTTTTTCACAGCTTTTACCTTGATTTTCATCATCATCTCAATTGCATCAACAACAATCAATGTTATGTTATCATCATTAATGGTTAAGCATTAAATACAATTCAATGTTAACTTTTTTTGTTATCATTGTTGTTGGTCAGTTTCCTATTAGATTATCAGTAAATTTTCATGTTCGGACCTTAGATTTTGATAAATTATTTATGATAAACAATCAAATTGTATCATGAAAGTTGGATTATCTTTTTGATCTCTAATCTTTTTTTATTATCCGATTGGATTAAATTATTATTGTGACAAACGTGTTGAAATTATCAGGATAATATAATCTTAATTTCTTTTATTGTGAAATATTGTTAACAATTTACTCTTTACCATTGATATCGATATTCAATTATCATCATTGATTATTGGTCAAATTTATTAAGATATCCAATTGGTCCAATGGCATTGGTCTTGCTGTTGATAATTAACCTTAACGGTTGTCAGTTAATCGAGGACAATTTCCGTTGACATGATTTTACGGGACCACCTAAATTACCTTAATTAAAATCAATCAACACCATGATTATCACGTTAATCAATAAATATATATTTCTATAGGAATATAATAATATCCAAACAGAAACAACAACAATTAACGAAAAGCAAAAACTTTGATCAACAAGAAACTTTGATTGTATTAATTGTTATTGTAAAGAAGAGACAAAATGAAAAGTTAATGTTAATTATGATCAAGTTAATAGCTTAACCAACTACTCATATATATCATAATAGTAGAGACAATTATTCAAATTATTAATTAACGTAATTAAACTAATACAGTGAATGAGAGATGGAAACTTTAATTATTTAGTATATATATATGACAAGAGAGATGTAATTAAAAAGAGTAAGCAAACAATTAACAAAGATAATGAATCTTGAAACGTTGAACTGAGGATGAAACAAAAGGGATAAATGATATTATATCATTGGAACCTTTTATTTCAAAGGTAAATCATCATTCTCAATTCTCGACTTAAATGTCACCATACAAAAACCTATTTAAAGTTGAATATCACAAGAATAGACTCTATAGTGAGAGAGAAACTGTCATCATCATCATGGATTAGCGTGAGCAGAATAAAGATGAGCAGAAAGAAAGAGAAGATAGATGAAAAAAGAAAGAGTAAAGATGATGATGATGATGAAAAAAAGGTGAAGATAATGATGATAGTGGCAATTTTCCGGTTTCTCAGGTAATATTATATACACTCAATTATCATGATTTTCCTTGAGTGTTGACTATATAATCCAATCCCTTTTATGGTTTATATGATTAACTCTAATCACAATAAACTTGGAAACAATTAGATGTTTCATTTGATCAAAATTAAAGTTTGATTATTATACTTTGTTGATTTGATTTAGGAAAACCATGAGAAGCGATTGATTAACAAGTAGATTGAGAAAATTGTTTTTTTCTTTTAATTGTTTGGGTAAATTATCAATCTGATTGATATGATTTGCATTACAATTTACTGTTTAAGTTATTGTTATTGGTACAATCAATTAACTATGGTTTAATCAGAGTATATATAAGTTTTATATTATATGAAAGTAAATCAATCTATGAGGTAGAGTAACAATTAAACATTAATTGTGATTGTTAATCAATTGTTATTGTATTAATAAATTTGTTTTCTGATTGTGAATAGTTTAATAAACTTTATTGGTCAGATTGTGTGTTAATTGTTATTGTTGAAAGGTAAATTATTAAATTGAGGTGAATACACACAATCGAATGGTTAGTTAATTGTGATTAAATAATAATTGATTAAAATCAATTCCCGGAAACAAATTGATTATCAGGATTTGTTTCCATGTACAAATTTCAACCAATCAATGAATGAATATATCACATCCTGCGCATGATTTTCGTCCATTGAACATGTCACCATCTTCCATTTTTTTATCATCCTTATCATCATAATATAAATATTCTGTATCAGAATCAGAATCATGGAAGAGAAAATAAAAAGAAAATCAATAAAATACATTCTCTCTCTCTCTCTCATCAGAATCATTATAATTCCTCCTCCAACTTATTCATCTTCAGCATCAATATCCTTTTTCTGTCTCTTTCTCTTACTTTTTTACCTCCGCCTCCTTCTACTTCCGCCCTCACCACCACCAACCACCCCTTTTGGAGGAACAAAGGGAGTGGCTTGTTATTAAAGCCAACAATGCCATCATCGTCATCATCATCAACATCTCTCTCTCTCTCTCTACCCTTATCATTATTATTTCTTAGCATTCAAATATGAGCAAAAAAACTCATATTGAAACCGATGACAGGTAAAAATTTGACCCAATTTCATTTCCACTTGATCATAACAATCATCTCTATGTAAATGATTATTTTATTACTTAAATGTCTTTACCTGTGGTGGCATAGAGATCATTGCGGGAGAAGACACATCAAGATTTCCAATTAGAATTCAAAATCTTCAACAATCATAAGCAATTAGTGGTAAGTAAGGCTCAGAGAGAGAGAGAGAGAGAGAGAGAGAGAGAGAGAGAGAGAGAGAGAGAGAAGAGAGAGAGACCTCCATAATCAACTGACCAGCTCCTCCTAAACCTCCTTCTTTTTACTCATCCACCCTCATCTTCTTCCTCTTCCTATTAATACAAACAATCAAATGATATAATATTATCTTCTTGAAAATTAAGATATTACAATAATCATCTTCTTGTGGGTGGTACAGTTTAAAAGGACTTGACACATTGTCCACTATGGAAAATGATATCAATTTATTATTCTTTCTTATATATTTTTGAATATATATATTGTACATTATGGTTTCTTTTCTTGGTGAAAGATAATAATACAAACTTTAAAGGAAAAAAGGTATAATAAGATATTCATATATCAATTTACCTGTAAAAAGACATCAAATTTTCCTCTTACCTTGTGAGGTCTTTAACGATAATTTAACGTTCCCGTTAAATAACGTTACCACGTATTATGTTTACCTGTGTGTTAACCATTTCCATAATAAATGATAATCAACATAATAGATTGTGTGATATATTATAAGAAAAGAAATTGAGAAGAAAAAAATTGTTTTGATTGATGGGGAGTGGTTCCTGGTAACCTTTACAGGTAAGAAGAGTGAATGAGAGAGGTTGAAATAATGGCTGAATGGGGAAAGAGGCGGTGGGTGGCTCCATATTGAGTAACCTTTGTGAGTGTGATCAAATATAATAGCAAAAATATCAATAATGATGATGAAGATAATGGGTCAGCATGTTAATAGATGAAGAAAAACGTTTCCTCGCATCATCATTATCATCCTGTTTCTAGCAAATGAAGATATTTACCTGGAAATAATTAAACCAATGGTCAGTACTTTTACTCACTATTATCATTGAGAATGACCTCAAGTTAGCCACGAGCCTTTTTTCAAAAGGTTCATTATAATAATAATAATAATGATAATCTATTGTTATCATTTGCTATTATACAATAAACAAGATTAAAGGTGAGACATGAAATTGATAATGAACAATCAACAGAGATGAAGATGATGATGATGATGATATTTAAGGTAATCGTAGTATAATCATTCATTCACTCATCTATTTACTTTCATTCATACAAAACTCATTCATTGTTGACCTAATTTCCTTTTTCATCTTATACAAATTCCTGTCAAGTTATGAACTTTTCTTGTTAATCTTTAGTTAATCTTGTTTATTATGATTATTAGATTATTAAAACAATTAAGAGACTAATAGTTAATTGTTTCCTTCAATTATTAACTAATTGTCTTGAAAATGTTTTTCATGTGAACTGATTACAAATAAATTGTACTAAATTAAATCAAATCCTTGGTAAGTTCAAGTGTTTATCCGTAAATGGTTAATCAAATGAATGTTAATTGTTGTGAATAAAAAAACAATACAATTTCATTGAAACAATTGACTGATGATTTACTGATTATGACGATTATGATGATGATAACCATAAATGATAATCAACTTATTTTTTAATTACAATTTAGTTTATTTCATTATCAGTCTAATACATTCATGGTTATTATAATTGAAACTTAATTAAAATTACCAACACTTTAATGGTCAATGAAAATGATAGTTAATTATAATTAAGAGTAATCAACAACATCAACAATCAAGTACATAATTATATAAATTTTTATCATGAATAAATTAAATTAAATTGTTTCTCTTTCACCTAATTGATTTCAAGTGTATATTTGATTGATTGATTGATTGATTTAAGTAATACAATAGTAAATGGTAATGAGTAATCAATGATAAAATCGTTAAT